TTAGGTCTTTTGTTGCACGCTGTTCCAAAGCACTTACTATGACTATAATTCCCGCATCTTGGTTTTGAGTTTGACACTTTTAACCAAGATTTGTTTTATTAATTAAGCCACAGTATCTGCAACTAATTTTATGGTATTAAGAAGATAAAGGCAAAACAGGAAGATTAATTAATAAAACAAATCTTGGTTTAAAGTGTCAAACTCAAAACCAAGATGCGGGAATTATAGTCATAGTAAGTGCTTTGGAACAGCGTGCAACAAAAGACCTAACTCAAGTAACACATACATGGTGGATTTAGTACCTTTGGCATTATTGACTGCAGCACGCATACAAAAATGTGCGAAACACAAATTTGTAAACGAAACTGCTAAGTAAATTCGCAGATTAGTGATGGGCTAAGTTAGATTAATCTTCCCTGGCTATTGTTGTTGTTAGCACAGTGTGCTGTAGGGTAAAAACCAGTTATTTCGTATTGTGACACCACCGCATTACCGTACCTTTCGGTCGTTTCAAAGAACATTGACGCCCTTTTTCGTCCGTATTTTCTACGATAAATAAAATGCAATGATTTGATTTGATGACTCGTGATGCCTAAATTTGCAAATCAATTTTTGGGAGGACTGTTTTAATGCATTCAGTCCGGTCGGCACCTGTTGAAATATTGTTTTGCTGCGTGGTTAGCTGTGTTGGTATTCCTCGCCTTTTGTCGACGTTGTGACCAGTGATGGTGCACTTTTTGAGTCCTCGTATGAGTGATAGGCATTTGTTTTGACGTGCCCGGTTTGATGTATCGGGTTCCCAGTCACTTCTGACTTGTTTTCAGTGTCCAAGCAATCGTGACTGCAAGCATTCGATGGTTAGGTGATGCGCTGAATGGTAAGTGTTGTGATGAACCACAGACCTGTATTGACCGATGAAACGATCGCAAGGTCTGACGCACTAGTATTGTTACTCAGACGGTTGTTTTTTGTGTCTAGGACACTACGCCTTGGTAACGTCGAGGTCTACGCGCCTGGTGTGTGTAACCTGGTGAGTTGGATGTGGTGAATTGTTGGTCTGTGTTGTCGAATAAACGTGTATTCCTGACTTGACTGTTGGTGGGTGGTTTCGTGGAAGATGAAGTCCTTACCTCTGTTTTTCGACGCCAGTGATTTCTGGTGATCTTGTTATCCGCGTGACCTGGACTGAGGGATAGAACTTTGTGTGTGTCGACCCGCCCTAAGCTTAGAATGGTCTGGGTTGATATCGAGGAAGTTATGGTGTGTCCTATTATCACCGGTTACTGTGGGTTGTACTGCTCTATCTTCCGTGGGTGGTGGTGGATTTTGGACCCTCGCCCGGAGCGGTTTCACCACTAGTGGTTGAGCTGGGTTTTTTGGGGCGTGGGCCTTAGCGTTAAACTGTGTCGGGTGGGTCTACCGAAGGTGGTTCGCTGCCTGCACCCTGGCCAAAGGGGGGTAATGCTTGTAACAGGCGTAGATTCGAGCAATTTATTTGTAAGAATCATTATAGTCGGATGTTCCTATCATTGACATTGGTAGAAATGAGTTTGCTAAGTGTGTTTTTAAAATTCAGATGGTGGAGTGGCGTGGCTCGATGTTGGGGTTAGTTGAGCTGTGGTTGTGCTCTGCAATTTGGTTCCCAGGCTGGTAAACAGGATGGGTCTGAAGAGGTGTGGTCAAAGAGGTGTCTGTCAGTGTGGGCGCGTCCGTGGCCGTGGATGATTGTTCCTGAGTGGTGGGTTGTGTGGTGTCAGTTAGGCCGCTGTTTTGTAACTGCTCGTGACTTGAGGCTGGGATACGTTCGGTACCTGCGCCGTCGCTGCAATCCATGGGTTCTCTCCCTTCTGTCGAGTTGTCAGGTGACTGCGTTTCTGTTTGTAGGTTGAGATTATGTGCACTGTTGTTTATTTGACTGCTGCAAGTGGTCGTTGTCTGACTAGATTCGATATTGACCTGAGTTTGCTCTTGAGATTCCGCCATTTCTAGTTGTCCAGTTTTCCAGAAATGTGCCAGAACGCCTGCCCCATAGACGGCTGCCTCCTCAGCGTTGATTGATTCCCTGAGGGCAGCCCGTGGAAAAATTTCCCGCAGTAATTTTTTGACACAACCCAGTCGACTAGAACCACCTGTCACCACGATTTCCTTCACCTGATACTTCCAGTCCATGGAGGCAGCCTTTAGTGTTTCGCGAACACCTGAGATCATTTTTGCAGAAAGCGCATTTAAGTACCCTGTTGTGAAGACGCCCTTGAAGTCAATTCCGGGGCCCACTTCTGTAAACTCGAAGTGCATCGAAGGCGAAGTAGTGAGGCTGCGCTTGATGCGTTCCGCCTCAAGCCTGACCAGGTGCTGCATCTTCGGTTTGGCCAAGAGGTTACAGCCTGTCTGCTGATGGCATCTTTTATTAAGATGATCGATTATTAGTTGTGTGAGCTCTTCTCCAAAACAGTCTGGATCTCCCATATTGCGATAAGCCTCAAGGAAATGTTGGGATAAGTGGCTGAAATACTTGGCCTCCATGTATCCGCCACCGAAGCTAACTACCAAAACGTTGTCTGCTTGGCTTATTTGATTATCTGTGGCATAGGCCAGTGCAGCAGCTGTTGTTTCATGCACAAGTAAGACGTTTTCGAGCCCAGCTGATTTAGCAGCCTCCTTTATTGTTTCACGTTCATCGTGTGTGAATACGAAGGGAACTGTAATAACGGCGCTTGTTACTTTCTCACGGAGGTCCTTTTCAGCGTTGGATTTCAAGTAGGAGATAAAATGCGAGCAGATTTTCACAGGGGAAGCATTCTCGACCCCGTTGATTTCACACATTCCCATTCGCATTTGCACATTTCGGTCAAAGGAGTTGTTAATCGATGGGCCACCTGGGTGGATGAGACGCTTGATTCCAAAGAGTGTTTGATTGACCGAAAGTTCGAAGTGATTTCGGACCATTTCGCCATGCTTGATTTCATCGTGTAAGTCGAATGTGAGGTAGACAGGTGTGGCGGTTTTTTGGTGTTCATTTCGATGCAGAGAAATGCGGCCATCGCGATAGTGAGCAGAACTGCACTTCGTTGTCCCGAAATCAATGCCAATCGCTGCTCCAGTTGATTTTGGTGGGGGAGTGGACATTTGATCCAGTGAATTATTGTTTAATCCAGAAACAAACTTTGATGTGGAGAGTAATTTTGGCACTGATCTTCAGTCTGCGGAGCGACATGGCGCTCACATTTGTGATACACTGCTTCCAATCAGAACCAAGTCTCGCTTTGATTGGAGACGCGAATTGCACTTGTTCGACACTCATTCCACTCATAACTGATTTTCTGCATGTGAATGCACCGTGTAACACTGATGTTTGATTTTAGACATTACCAACAAAGACTCGACACTTGTTAGGTTTTAGTGTTGAAACAGGCATTTAATTTCAGTACCTAGTATGATTATAAATCTGGCAGCTACCTAACCGAAAGACTTAATTAGGAACAGAGAAGCAAGTTACCTCATATAGTATCTGCTCCAATAATGTTTCATTTGCAGTGTACGATTTCGCACATTACATTTTAGCATTTGCGGATGTGTCAATTTGTGGTTACGAAGATTTGTTTCCATGAGCGTTGTCGTTGGTGAATTCCAAAGTATTGAATAAATTTGTGTTATTGATCTATGAGAACAAGTTCCAGTCAGTGCGAGGGGCAATTAGAAATGCCATAATGTCTTTAAGTGCATTTTGTTTAGTTTTATCGCACTACAGGAATCATTGACAAGGTTCTCCCAGTATGTGGGTTGCATCGTGGAGGGTTTGAACAACGAGGCCTAAACACAGACACCGGGAAAGGTAAATGAGGCTGACGGAAACAGAACAACTATTGTGTCAGGTATCCATAATCGTTCCATGGCAATTAGTATGAGATCTAGGGAGTGGCTGGGGCTAAGAGTTGAATTTATGCAACTTTGGTTTTTGACCGGCCACGAGGAGAAAGAGTTTATCTTATGTGGCAGAGACAACTGGTGTTTGCTGGTTATGAACTCACACCTTTTCACAGGGTTGCAGTCATCCGTGTTGAGTCGATGTTACCTCATTCTCTTGTGTGATGGTTCAAGGTGAATTATGGAGCAGCTGGATGCCTCGCTAGTGCGACCTGGTTCACGGTCATTAAGCTGATGACCATTCGACATGTTGCATTGCGGGTCCCAAACTCGCACGGGTTTGTGGGCGAAAGCTACCTCAATGCGTCTTAACTAGTCCGGTTGATTTAATAGCATGCGTGATGATCCCAAGCGCCAAGAGGCTTATTTTCACCTGTACGCTGATTGCCTCCGATTGATTTTGTGCAGGCCATTAAAGGACCCGACTCCAACTAAGTTTGCATGACCGCTTGTGTTCGTGGCGAAATTCCAACGCTGGATCTTATTGGTGGGGCTCTGGTTATCCGATTGGGAAGTCAATCTACTTGCATTCGCGATATTCTCAGGACACAATTACAGTGTGGTATTTTTTACTCATGCGTTAGATTCCGAAACTGAAAGCCTCAAGCACATCTTTCTGATGGAAATGTGTTTTCCTGGACGTACTGCCGATTATCATTATTGTTGTAAATACTACTGTTCAAACAAGTATTATTTCTCTAACAACACCTGGTTTTTGATGCAGTTTTTTTGGGAAACCGCAGGTTGAGCACAATTTCAACATTCCCGAACGCAAAATTTTACTTGCTAAAAGCATGAAAATATGGGCTGGGATTGGTGCAAGGTACATCAGGCCAGAAGAACTGTCTGTCCTCGGGTGAAATCACGTTGTATCAAACGGGTTAGTTTACACAAATTCATAGGCTCTTCTGTCTTAATATCTGCAATAACTGAATTTGTTGCAATGCTTAAGTACTGTGGGCATCTGTTTAGTAACGGTGGCGTTTCGACTTCCCCTAGTCAAGATTAGCTGAAACAAAATTTGATTTACCAACTAGCAGTGGATAGGTAGTGCGTCATTTTACGAACATGCAACCTGCAATTTAATATATCAAAAATGATAACCAAATGATAGGAGTAGAAGTGTTGTCAAATACTCTATCGTTGCTTTTCTGAAAAGCATTTTGATCAACTTGTAGTATTAGTATGAGAGGTTGAAGGTAGTGCATAAGAGAGGGATGTGCTGTAGCTTAAGGCTGGATGGGATGGAGGTGAAGGAGTGGTTGTACCCATGGTCCGTCGTAGTTTTCCACTTGGATAAGCACTGGAGGGAAGTTCCAGCGATTGGGATGCATTGAGGGACGAGGCGTGTCTGGCCATACCCCGGACCACTCAAACACCGGCACCTCTTCGTAGGTCGGACCAGAGACAGCAATCATACTTGACTACAGGCGAGAAAGTGAACTTGGGTAGACAAATAATTGTTAAGGTAGGAGAGAATGTACTATTCGGCTTCCAGCCAACGTGAAATACGGTAAAACGGAAGTCACATCGGCAAATCCATCTACGTCTGAATAATTATTCAACAATTCGCGTGACGTACGGACGTTTCAAAAGGATATCATAAAGAGCTGTTAGTAACTGAAGTGAACATTTGTGTTGGCATTAAAGCCCTGAAAATTACCATTTAGGTGCTAACAACATCTTACACACACGGGCTTGATGGTTTCCAATCATGAAATTGCTAGCACAAATCGATAGCAAATCTGCGGTCAGCTGAGTTGATCGATTGGATCATTGTGCATATTGAGGTGGAATTCCAAGTATCTCACTGATCCAGGTAAACAAGTGTGCGTTTGTTTTTAATAAAAATGAGAAAAAGTGGGACGTCGGCGCTGACAGCGGAGATGCACGTGCTAACCTCACCAATATAATAAGGCCATTTTCAGAAAGTGGAACCCTGAAGCTGATACCGGTGGATATTAGCCATTCTCCCAGGAGTGAACGCACTAAACTCGTGATTCCCAGCTTTTGACTGCATATTGCCACGAAGTAGCCCATTAAGCCAAGAAACTACCTCAGGCGCATTAATGCATTCTGAGAACCACCACATTGCAAGAAGTGTGTTTTTGGTGACACCACTTATAAAATCGTCTTTGTAAAGTAGCAAGTTGGCACGAAGCACACAAAGACAGTTAGAAGCACTGAAATAGGATTGGTAAAACACAAGCAGCATTTTGGCATTCATTGAATGGAAGACAAGCTATTTCATCTTCCAAATAATGGTGACATTTAGTAGACAATAGAGCCGTCCTTGAGCCAAACGTGGATTCAAGACTGGACTAAAATATTCACAGTTAGCACTGCCAGTGAAAGCTACAAAGCACTAACCGATCTGGCCAAAGCCAAATTGACCAGCTTCAAGTCAGTAGCGCCGTGGAGACGAAAGCCGAGCTGGGGGAGTGGGTAGGTCCCATTGGGATCGTTGAGGTCGCTTCGGGCTGCGATTGCGTACTGCGCGGTGTACGGGGGTGTGCAATTGCACTGCGACAGCGGGTCGTGCATGAAGTTGTTGTACCTAAATTTTGACACAAATGCATCTTCATTTGACCATATTTGTCATGCATTTTACGCATGCACAGTTATAAGAAATGGTTTTTCTTTAACAAGGGATGTGTTGCCCGACATATTTCATCTAGCTGCAAACTAGCCTTTGTTGCTCAAAAAGTACACAGTTGTCAACCCCAGTAGAATTTAAGCATTTCAGGAAACGCATGAGTTTGCCCTTGGTTAATTTTTGGTAGATGACGAAGCATTCAAATCTTACAATAGGACATGTTGTCGATTCGCCGACAAATCACTACAGGCGAAATGTGTCCTAGCCCCAATGTAAGTTTATCGTCTACAATAGGATCAAAGAACCATCGCACAAACCAATAGTGGAGGGCCAGCACATCGTAACGGTTCTAAACCAACTGGAAATGTAAGGCCTCCTCCCGCTATCACCAAAAACACAAGTTTGGCTACGAGCGGCCTTGCTCAACTGTCGGAAAGATTTCCCACAAAAGATTCTTCTCTTAGCCACAATCATAAATTGATGCATGCAATGTAATGGTTTGGGGGCGAATTAAGTTCGATACTGCTGTATGGAATGCAATGACATTTAATGACGATTCGCTAATCAGTTATAATTTTCAACACGGTTGAATGCTTTTTGATAAGCTTCTGGCCAATTCCAAATTAAGAGTTCAAAGAGTATTTTGGACCTCATCAACAAAAATTTAAAACACGTGTGAATTCAAGTCATCTTTACAAATGAAAGCTCTGTGCTTCGTAGGATTTCCCGATCGCCAGAATCAATGATACATCGATGGTGTCTCGTTAGGACTTCATGAGACCAGAATGCTACACTATTTGCCAACCAAGCTGCACTGCTTTTTCACGTGGCTTGACAGATCCTGATTCCTGTGCACTTGCCAACTTTGTCGACTTCTTTCTCTGATTTCATTTGTTTCTTAGGAGGGATACCCAATTAACCACTTGGCACTGTGAGTGGGGAAGAAACTGCATAATACCCAGGGCACTGCCACCAAAGTGATAGCATGATCTTTGCAAATGCAGCTCAACTCTCGATGTGGTTCGCGCTGAATCCACTCGCTTCGGGTGATGCTAGTGGAGACAACTAATTTTTCGTTGCCAGAGGTTACCTATTTTAAGAAGAGGTGATGCTTTATGTGATTCTCTTTCAAACGTTGCCACACCCAAATAACGAGTCCAAGACATTTGTGGAGATTTTACATGGTTGCCCGCGCAGTACACGAAATCACACTGAATTATCTCACTGGGTTACGTAACCACGATCCGAATAAACTGTGGCTTCGGATTGGTCAGCATTGACTATGGTGGATGAACCAGAAATTTAGGAATTCTGTTCTAGATGCTTATTGCTTGAGCGCGTATTCTGTTTAGAAATCAGCACCATGTGCCTCACAGGTGAAAATGAACCTAAGCCGACCGTTACAAGTGATATAACGTACGAGTTGCCTTTGGGGCGAATTGAAAGTGCTTTTTTGTAGTTTAAAAGAAAATCACATCATTGCGAGACTCCTCATTTACAAACATAGCGATATTGGTGAAAACCGAAGTAGCTTTTCTACTAATTAACGCGAATGTGTTTACACATCAGCATTCGTGATGTTCTTTTCTGCTGTGCGCCTATTCAAAATTCTTATCTTTACAAATTAAACCTCGCATAGTCATCAATTTCTCTCTGTTCGTGCTTTTGGCTCAAAAGACACAAGGAGGTATCAACAATGTTGGCGTTGTCATCGGTTACGCAAGTCAAAACTTCATTACCACATGGGCAGATGTCAGCGGGGTACCGACCAAGTGAGTTCATTTTGTGCAAAGAAAAATTGACATCCACTCACCGCATCAAGCGATAGACGAGCGGCAACGACACAGCGTTCACATGATCGCGCCTAAAGATGCGAGCTCGGGCGGCCATTTCGTGGGAGTACACGTCTCCGTATTTTTTCTCCAAGTCATCGAAGCCCGACACTTGATGAATGAATTCAAAGTACCTATGGAAAGGCATTGGAAAAGGTATTGTCTATAGATCGAATTGTGCCCTGCAGCCCATTAATCGTCTTAAAAGTAAATTTGGCAAAAAAGCATCTGAGATGAGCGGACGCAATTGTTTATTCTCACCTGCCAGACAAGATGTATACTCCATGTATATATTAGCGCGTACTTAGAGAATAGGTATAATAGATTTCGCACTAATACAATCAGTAAGAAGTCAGTGCTCAATCCTATTTGTGGAAACGCATAACATCTACACGGCCAAAATTAAATTTCCTAGATTCGACCATTACCAAGCCCGGGTTCTTTTTCATCAACGTCTTTTGAAGAAGGTGTTTCTGTAATGAGGATAATTTTAGGTTTATTGTTCATCGTTCGAGTCTTGATGTACACACAATTCCACTATCGTTTTTGTAGCTTAGGTATCAAATTACGATTTTAAGTTAAAGTACGATTCGGCGCTGAACACTACCGTCGCCTGAGGCTGATAAATCTCATTGAAAGCCATGAACAAATTAAAATGTGTCCTGCTAAGAAGCTTTATGAGAAATTATTTCGGAACGAATAATTATAAGCGCTTAAACAAGATTCTTACGGAATGTTATAACTTCCCCAGTACGATTGGTTGATTAGGTGCTCGGTGACATCAGCGGATTGAATGAATCCCCTGAAAAAAGGCAAGTGTAACAGATGACGAAATGCTTTTTTACACCTAATGGTAAATGTCTTGAGGGTATTGGGATACATAAGTAGCCGAGATAGTGCTGTAGACCGAACTCTCAATGTTTAAATTCACATCTATAAAATCTCCGGAAGGCATCAGTAGAAAATGAGTCCACAGTAGCGACATGAATCAGCCCTTTCTTTTTGAAATGAACTCATGTAACCTTATTGATCAAACAATTTTTCTCCGTATGTAAAACTTCACACACACACTATTTAACAAACGAGTTTTTTTAAAGACTGCCTTAAAGTGACTAAAAGAAGCAAACACAAACTCACGGAATTTGTTCGGCTACCCAAAAGAGATCTTGCGTTGGCAACGGCTTCTCTGGGTCTAAGACTTTTGTATCAAACACCATCCATTGATTGTTGTATCTACGGTGATAAGAGGCATATCATCAAACGCATGCTTATTATGGACGTCTGGTATTGAGCCTAAGACGATGAGACGGTGACAACCGAGAAGAGCCAAACAGCCAGATTTAAAAGCTATTGCAACGGTGGTAAGCTGTAATCCAATTGGCCAAACGGCGATTACAGTTAATGTTGATTGGCGCTTCGTAAAGCCTCTAGTTAGTGGGACACGTAATGCTTTATTACATCTTTTCACAAAATCAGAAATGCTAATAAAACTGCTGTGAAATATCAAGGCCTTGCTTATGAAATAACAACTTGTGCTTTCTTATAACTTAGCATGATTTCGTTAGGGACACAAATGAATTTGAGTTGGGAATTAAAATTAGTGCACAAACCACTTCGAAATATTATCTCGGGTGAGTCGAAAAATGGGTCTCCTTGTGCCACTAAATGTTGAAGTGTGGCTCCTCCTTTTTCCTCAGTGTGAAAGCACATGCAGTCAAGGTGGTAAAAGGGTTCTCATTATCAGTTAAGTACAGCACGTCTGCACGGTTGGAGTAGTACAGAGGGGGACAAATTTGACGGAGGGACGGGAGGCCCGGGCGTCAGGTAATCGAAAGTACGCACTACCGTGGCACGGACGTGCCTCTCAGTCGGCCCAAGTTGGACAAACATAAGACATCGAAAACATTTACTCACTGAATCTACGGATCAAATCACGTGACTTCTGACTGGCGTCTAGTTTGATCTCAGACCACGGTTTAATGGGGTTGAAAAAAGGCGCATCTTCTAGCGACAACAAAGCCATTTTAAAAAATAAACTTGAGACGTGAGGGTAGAAAAAAGAGACTAAATAATTAAAATAGTTTTGAAGGATGAAAAGTTCGCCACACGCAGCTTGCACCTGCATTTTGGCAATATTTTAAGTATTCACAAATTCTACACAAAGGTTGTACTGCTGTAATAAAAGTAGTGTTAGAGAAAGGTTTAACACTCAAAAAAGAGGAGGAAGACGGGAGTCCACAGATCTATTTACTTCTGTACGGAAATGTATGCTAACTAACTGCCAAGGCATTGGTTAGCGAGCCGAGAAATTCAGGTTTTAATTCCCGGCGAGTAGTGTTTACATTATGCGAGGTCACGTGAAGTGTTCCAGTAAATTGTCAAAACCATAATTGTAAATCAAAAATTAGTCCTTCAGAAAATATATCAACAATGAACAAAAGTATACACGAAGAATTCGTAGTTTGGGTTGTGTAAATTAATTCCTACTGCTTTTTTCATATAAACAGGAAAAGACGAATACCTGTGGCAAAAGATGGCTACTTCCTTTTAGACGGTCAACAGCCTGTATTTATTTCACTCAGCCCAGGGACACACTGTGTAAGAGCATTATGGTGAAATTCAGTAGCTGTGGAACAAGCACTAGCAAAAGTTGGGCTAGATTCACGAGTGTCGCAGTTGCATCAAGGTGAAGTCAACCACAGTGGAAGCAAACAAGGTCTTACGAAATCTTAGACCAATGTGTACGTAAGATTCAAGATATAATAGAACCTATGAAAAGAACCCACGTTCCACTGTTATCCCGCGAAAAGAAGGAGATCCATTCACTTGGAGTGCGAGCAAGTCTGTTGGCGATCATTACTCGAAAAACCTCGAGGACGGAGTTGTTTAGTCCGTGACGGACAAAAGGCCACAACGCGGGATTTTCGTTTCCGTTTGTTGTCTCTTGAACCACCTGAAGCCACAGAGGGAAAGCAGTGAAGCCAAAAACTATTGACAGACCAAGAGTAAATATGTTGCAGTGAATAGTTTTAATTCACGTCAAATAACCCGGTCATTGAAGCCTCACACACATGTCCCCCTTACCAACGCCTTGCCCGTCACCTCTTGGTATGTACCCCCACCACCTGCTCGCTCCATGTGACCATTCAGACGTCTGTATTTTTACTAGTCCACTCAACTGTGTCAGTCAACACAACACAAATTCGTTCAGCTGTCTAGTAAACGGTTGTGCCTCATTCTCCCTGGCCTTCTTCATCTTAGCGGGTACTTGGGGTAGCATAGTCGGCGTAGATTGACGCAGTGGCCCCGGCGTGGTTCATGACCACATGCCGGGGCCTACAACAGCGTCTTGGCTTGAAAACAGACGTTCATCAGTACCATTACTAACCCTTCCAAGCTTTTCGGTAATTCTTATTGCATCGCCACTCTCTATCACAGAAACCCACATCACTGTGTCACGGTAAGCAAAGCCAGTGAACAACTGGTTGCCGTTCTAGTCTAAGTTGAGCGAAATTGTGAAGAAACAACAGACTGCAAACATGTACCTGTAATCCACCATGCACACTTCAGGTTGCACGTCAATACATCTGAAATACAGGGATTAAGTTCGACCCACTTCACAAATCTTACACAATTTCACGGTCGAAACATCTCATATTGGAAACGGGGAATAAATAAACCAATGTGACGTCTTACCAATAACGGCGATGTCGATCCAGCACCAACCCAAGGTGTATGACTATTTGCTGCAAGTCAACTTAACTACTCAAAGTATTTAACCACACCGATGCTGTTAGTGTCAGGATCTAAAGTCGGCACACACGTAAGCTGAATTGCAAGCCTGGATAGGGGAACCCACCAAAACTACATTTTGTGAGATGAAGCTATTTACGTGAAATTCAACATTCCGTTTTCTAGTGCCTTTCGCACAAAAATTCAGGTCAACAAACCAAAAAATATCGTGGTCTGGCTCGTTGATTCTAACGTAAGCACCTCGTGCAACACGATCTGCTAGATGGTCGATGGCAAATAAACGTGAAAGTTGTGGCTAGGGCAGGTAGATTGGCTAGTCTGAATCTAAAGTTATGTGTTGTGCAGAGCACAGGGCATAAAAAGAAGTGAATCGAGACGATAAATGAGTAGGAATGAAGCAAAAACGACGACATACCAGTCCGGCGCTGGTGATGTAGAAGTCGTCGATTGAGGCAACTGTTGATGGGTAGGAGGAGAACATAATTTTCTCCGATGGAATTAAAGGGGCGTCTAAAAAGGTGGGAAAGCAAGTACAATTCACGAGCAGTCCACTTTAAATGGCAGGAGCACTCTTAACTGCTGCGCATCACTTTTCTATGTCATTTCCAAATCGACAATCTGACCGATCAAGATTTTCTTATTCTTTAATGTAAATGATCTTCCATCACTATATAGTGCTTCAGGAACAAGTAAACTGCTGGTCTGCTAGATTACCAATACATTTATAACAAAGTAACACTTTTTTCTAATAAAACAACAACAAACTGGTTTATTATCACAGTAAACTTCACCATTGACAGGGTTCAACAGCTTATTGTTTGAATGGTGACGCCACTTTGGTGTCAGATGGCGATATACGTAAGAAACGTGAAAATGAAAAATCTGCAACCACAAACCGCTAGTGACTCTGATCTTAAAAACGACATTACTAGGACCAATACGAATGCAGCTAAAGGACAAAACGTAAAGCCCTCCACGTCTGACTTACTCGAACTTCGAGTGAGTCTCCAGGCGAATTCATAGTACTTCATGACTTTAAGCATGGTCTTGTAGTCTTGCCAGGTGCTGTGAGAGATGAAGACATCTTTGCGATCCGGTGTGAGTTTCACTAATGCCGAACAACTGGGCCTGTTGAGGAAATATCGCCTCCCATCCGGTCCCCCATCTCTTATCTCATGGATGCCCACAGCCGCGGCTATTTCTCCCATGTCGCCGCTCAGCTGCAAGAGGCTACAAATGTACCAGGAGACCTAACCTTGACAATGGCCTCAGTACATAAATGGAAGCTATATTTATTCATCGTGCATTTTAACAATGGCCGAGATACAACAGTGAAGGCATCAGAAGACTAAATGTTAGATACATGAAGGAACAGAGTATCAGCATTATTTATACTATCAACCTTATTGCGTATCAAATAGGTTACTCGAATTACCTAGAAGTCTAAATTAGGAGACGTTCGGCCCACCGTGAGCATAAAAAACAATGATAATTACCATTTTTACAAATATATTCCGTGGTTAGCAACCCGAAGTCAAAATCAATTCATCGAGAAGGTCGTAGCAATAGACAGGAACCGCTGAAAGTGTGGGAAACTGTACGAGGCCACACAGGGTATTGACACTTTCAGTTGAAACGAAATAATTCGTCAGTATTGGATATGAATGGGGAGGTGTACGTGTAGGATGGACTTAACGTTAACACCTCTCTCACCAACTATTTACTTGCTAAATTCGGTATGACTAAATCTGGGTTGCATTGGATTTTCCTGTTTCAAGCATCTGAGTTTAATTTTTAATTTTTCCACACCAGACGTCAATACTTCTCTTTTCTATCTATGTTTGGAAGCATTTTATGAAATCCCGCTAGGAATGGCCCTTCTACTTACCAGAGTACTACAATCACTCGACTTACTAAAGTCCAAGCACTTTATCGACAAGCTGCATCAAGTAGTTTGTTGTCAGAGTTTTGGAGTTTTCAACCGTGACGTTCTCCCAAGCGTCTATGACTCCTCGAAGCTGCCACAGTATGAGTTCCATCTACAGGCGAAATAGGTAAAGTGGACAATGGACCCTCACATGATTCACAAAGTCGCAGCACATTTATAACCATTACGATAAAGCAAGTGACACTATCAATGGAAAACGCAGACTACGCAGTTTGGTTTTCAGACTTTCATGGTCATCCTCGTTATAAACAGATTTTAGACAAAGGGCGAGGGCGCCGAAAATCGAGGCATTCGTGCGTGGTGGACAGTTTGTGACCACACTTAAGTAATTTATTTACATTACTGATCTCGTGTGACATTTCACAATCTAGACAAACGATTGAATACACTGATTTCGCTGTTTAATTCCCCACTGAAACAATTGTTTAGGCAATTAACTCTAAACACTTGAACAGACCACCAAAGAATATGACGTTACGGAAAAAAATTGTTGCTATCCTGCTAGTGATCATTGAAATTTATTAATCGTAATTGCTGGCTGAAATATCAGGCGTTTCTGGAGAGGCATGGACTATTCTGAATGTTGTAGTAGCTTACTATGGATTTGATAAGAACGTGGGTTATACCTAGTAGAAGAATTCCATACAAGCACTTCTAACATCAAAACCAAAACAGAAATCATTTAATCAAGAGTGGAAACAGCCAATAAATTGTGTACTGATTCTAGAAAAAATCGCACGAAATCGCACCCTGCGTACTCAGAGTCTGTGTGACTTGTCTGCATTCCAGTAGTACACAGGCCAAACGCAATACCATTTAAGGCTGTGGCCCCAGTTTCACTTTGATGGTAGTGAAATAGGCAAATTTCTAACGAATAAAAGTAAAATGGGTAAGTCCAACCTCCCGGGCTTCGTAGGACACGTTACATAAATCTCAAATCGATTGGCATAAAACCTGACTTTCCAACCACAGTCTATTGAGAGAGCAGAGGAAAGTAATGTAGGGAATTAGGGTAAAAGCGATTGAATTTTATTTGGCGCTTTGAATCAGGACTTACCTGGTGCCAATAGGGATCGATGTCCCCAGACTGCACACTTTTCCTGATTGTCATCTCCAGATTGCGCTTCAGGCATCCCTCAAGCACCTTGCACTCAGCTGAATGGCCGCCTTCACAAAAACCTAGATTATAGGACCAAGTTTACAATATCTAGAAGTGTTGTAAATAGATTTACATTTGCCTATTATGTAAGACAATTGACGTTTTTAACTATTATTTTACACATCTATTTAAAAGGAAATTAAGTATTCAAAAAACATCCAGGAAATCGTTGGATTAATCTGTTAAGTTGTTTAAATGGGAAAGAATATATCGCCAACATCAAGGAGACAGTTAAAAACGGGGGTTATGTACCGTCGGGTGTTATAGTTGTTGTTCGGAAGAGAAGAGTCAAAATGAAAACACATTCAAATTGAAAAGTGATACTACTAGATAGCAAAAGCAGTAGTTTTGAGACAGTTGTTCCCAAAACGATACCTTGGGTACAAATTCTGGCACACACGGTTAATCTGTTTTTAACACTTTTTTGCCTGTTTCTCCCTGAGTTGTGTAGCCAATGGAGATAAGGTTTTGAGTAGATTTTGGCAAATAATGACTCGAAATAAGCTGGTTTATTTCATGTTGGGGATCCAGCATCCCCTCAGACGGCTTATCACGGGTTTGGATTTCGTCATTGTTTACAAAACTCCCCTAGGCACGCCACTTAATAAGTTGTGTAACCTAGGCCACCCTACTCACGGCTCCATCAGGCCAAGGTGGCAAGATCGCGGCCTTTGGCTGAAACACGAAAAGCTCTCTCTAAGTCCTGCCGTGTCTTACACCAGCGTGGGAAGATGGGGGCTAGCATGAGGCAAGGGATCTGGCATGCCGGTTATCTAGGTGTGTGATTTTAGTTCGTGGCCAAATATAACGTCTCGTCTCTACAACGACGTGAGCAGATGGTGAGTTATTGAAGTACGACCAATGAATTATGGAAATCTAACATCCACAGGTGGTGTGTTCGAACTCTCGCAGACACAAGATTAGAAGGTTTTGATAGAAAATAAACATGCATCCATCAGAGCATGGCGTAGTTGGATCATCAAAACTCGAAATAGGACCTGACACAGGGCGTGAAATTCATGGCTGCGCGTTGCCGCATGGTGAGTGGACTTGCTGACGAAAGGGCGGTACTAGACGTGGTGGATCTTAGTCATAATAGGTGGCGAGCTGTGACAGACTGCTTAGAAAACGGTTGTCAACCTCTGTCACACATACAAGGGCGAACTTTAATGAAGCAATTTTACTTAGTTTTCTAGACCTTGCAAGGAACTCACGAAGACATGGCAGGCTGGTTCGAGCTTGGTGGAATAATACTGGTTTGGACTTCACGCAAGAAAACCAGAAAATTGAACATCAGCCAGAGACGGTTTGGTTTAGGTAACATCAATACAACTTGACGCCAACTAGGATTTCGATGTACCGAAAAAATGTTGGAGCATGGATGGTTAGGTATTTCAAGAACACGCGATTAAAAAATGGCTATAGACCGCGTACCTGCCCATGTGTTTTCAAAGTGAGCATTAGTAATCTCCCGAGAAATGTGTAGCTCCAAGAAGCCTGCCCAGTATGCCTGTATAGTGTCGTCAATATCCCCGGAGGTCTTCACGGTCTGGAAAGCCATTCCCAGATCACTGAGTGATTCATTGAACCAGACGGCCGCTGGAATGATGAAATCATAAGTTGATCTGTGCTGGGGGGAAATGTCCGACTCCAGAGAGAAATTGTACGACCCATCTTCCAATCTAGAGGCTATCACACATGCTGTGTTGTTGGGAAGATCGATTGCTATTGACAGGTGAGCTGTGAGGACGCAGAGAAGCGACAAAACGACCACAGCCATGGTGCCATAAATGAAAGAGGCCGCGTGATTGCAAATGCCCAATCGCCTTCAGTGACCAATAGCGCAGAGGCTCACTCCTATTGGTCGCCGTGAAGCCGAGATAAGCGTTAGCTGGCGAATGGCCCAACTTTGCACACTGAATAACGGCGATGTAAATTGCGTCGCTTTAAGTTACACTGACGTGAATATGGTGATAAACATTACAGAATTCGCTTCAGGGCAGCAGCAAGAAAATGCGTTTACTAAAGAAAAATATGAAATGTAGGAATTTACTAAATCGCAACCTAATATTTTGCGGTTGTATCAATAACCGGACAAATTTCCGCCCGTCGCTCAACACCCACTGGTCTAATTCTGGTACCATGTTGGATACGGAAGTGAGATCTTCGGTCTTTAAAAAAATCGGTCAAGGTCCTCTTTACAAAAAAAATCGTTATTAGAACACTAGTGTTTCCATTGAACTTTTATTTATATTTAGCCCACCAATTTGGAATCGTGAACTTCGTGGGCTTTTCTTCAGGGTTCAATTCTGATGGCCATATTTCTGAGATAATGAATACACACAACAACCAGAGTACTTACAGGATAAGTGTGCATTTCAAACAGTAAGGTGGGGCTTTTATTGACATCCTCAGAATTATCCTCACAGGTGAGGCATAAAGTAAATCTAAATCGATTATTTGGTTAGTTTGCATTCAAACCAGCAGCATAATTTTTATTTTTGCCAAACTCCAGCCACAGTCAGGGCTTTGCCAGGTCAAATCATCCGCGCATCCACTAGTAGCTTACAGTAACTTGAATAAAGGACTACTGTTACCCTCGATTTCAAACTTTACATCGGCGATTGATCGAAGGGATGTAATCTTTCATCCTCAGCCCGGGTGGTCAACTCCAGTAGTGTTTATCTGATAGTTAACGGATAATAGCGATCCGAAAACAGAGGCAGGACAAGTGGCAACGGATGCGACCATTAATTTGCATCAAGGTACCCGAATGTGTCAGCAGCAATCAATGCAAGGTAAGTGTGAATCAGTGGCGCCGATCGACCAGTGACATGGTGACCACCCACTACAAATAGCCCAGAATTGGTTGAGACACAGTAAACGATCGAACGTTATCGTGACATATCAAAAAAGCGGACAGGGGGTGTGTAGTGGACAGACAGCCATCTCGCATGAGTGATGCGTGTACCATGGTCCGAGTGTACCAATGACTCATCAATTTTTTGGATCCTGTTAGCAATCGCCTGCTAGCACGCGCACTCATACGCACACAAAGCCACTTGGCTGGTGCGACACTAATAAACGATTGTGTTCTCTGTCTCCTTCCTTCTCGGGTTGTAACAGGCTGTTAACTAGAGGGTTGCAAGGTAGTGCCGAACTCAGCGACTCAGCCAACTCGGGGGTAGGAAAGGTGTAAACCGGGAGAGTGTGGGGTGGATTTATTGTTTCCCGAATATGCGGAGGGAACCTCGCTGTTATCCGTGGTGGCAACTATGTGACGGTAAATGCTGCATCCTAAGATCAATCTCTATCAATGGCAACAAGTTTGTCAACGTGTTGCACAGCTTTTAAGGTGCCATCGTAAGTGACTGAGAGGACTTCTTGATTGCATTGGCTAATCACATCTTGCTTGTTGAAGTCTTTAAACCAACCTCTTGGAACCAAACATATTCGTGATACAGCATGTCACTCCAGTGCCCTTCGCTGATACGGTACGACAACTTCCGAACACTTTCAGTGAATATTTGCAGTGGATCGTCAGAGAACGCGCGTGAGGGACCCTTGTAACAGGTAGAGTAGTGTCAATGACAAATGATAGTTGTTATAAATCATTCGACAATCAATCCCGAGCAGCCTCACGTAATGACATCCTTGATTATCCTGACGCAACTGGGTGATCGTATCTGTTACCGCCTGTCTTTTCTCTGTTACTGGATTGTTACGGGTTGTCAACAAGCAGTTGGAGACCCCGATTAATTGCTTCGATTGAAGTTACCACTATCTTCTCTTCTGTTAACAATTAATGACCTCAGGGTAGTAACCTTTTGTTTCCTGATCAGTTACCGAGCCCGGGTATGAGTCATGGAAATCGAAGCGCAATTTCGCATTCAGAAGGTTACCTTACTTCTCCAAGCATTTCATGTGGCACTACTACCGCCAGATGCTTCTGTTAACGTCAATCAACCTGCGAACAAGGTTCACTTAAGGGCGCGCGCTGACGATTTACTAAATACTATTTTGCAGTGGTGTTTAAGTGGGAAGTAATATTGGGGCGGCAGTATCGGCTAACAAGTAGAAATTGTGCAATCTTAGAGAAGGGCCCATTCGACACTTGTCTCGAGATAGCCTTTGCCCCTTAGATGCTTACGGCACATAAGTGACAAAGGCTTCACATTCCATTCGACTATTTTTGAAAACTTCTCATGATAAATTAGGTAGACTGCGGCACGCGCTAACGCCATAGCGACCAGAGAATCGGCTCTAGCAACAGTTATCAAAAATCTGGTCCACACTGACTTGCTAATAAGTGTTCACTACCCATCATAAACCTGACATGGCTCTCAGGTTTAAACCGGTTTTCAGCCACCGTGTCTATCTCAGTCTCTGCTTGGCCTCTACGTCCACGAGGAACTCTCGACACCGTTTTCGAATGCAGCACCACTTAAAGAGGTGTGCGTTCCCCGAATCCAAAGAAGACTGATGGGGCGGCACACTTCGTTTAGTCTGCCGAAAGCGTGCATGCCCAGAGCAATTAAAAAAAATGCGTCCTGTGGCTTTCGATGATTCATGTCTTGCGACTCTACCGCCGAGCATCTAGACACGCCGCCTCCCTGCTTTCTCAGCGTCCTTTTGCTCATACCCCATTACATATCACACTTAGACTGTGACGCTCATTTAGCCATTCAATGACTCATACACTAAGTAGTTCATGCGATTTTTAAGGGCTTACAGCCTCCAGCACTGATATCTCACAACTTTGTAAACTCAATAATACGACCAAACACAACGGACTGATGCCTACTTAACGCTGCGTATCCGTCAACGCCGGCCTCTATATTTTTTGCATAGTAGGACCAGTACAAGGTGCCGCAATAAATGGTGACCTCGAGACGGCCATGGACGCATAATTCAGGACATAACTCACGTAGAGGTAACCTCACACGTCGCTTTGCTACCTTAAAATATTAAGTAGAAATCCTATGTTGAATTCATCAACAGTTGAAGACAAAACCGGAGATAGTGCATCCAGAATGATGTTAGCGAGGACAGAATGGTGACACAGAAGCCCCCACAGGGGCAATACAATCTGGTTTTGGGCAGAATTTCCCAGAATCTACAGAGAGCTTAAGAATCCCAAAAACCAAGCAGGCAATTTCGAGCCCCGAGCAGCCATTCACATGTACTCCAGATTTATCAAATTGGGAAATCACCCCGGAAAAACGCCAATGACTGCAAACTCAGTGGTCCTGAAACATAGCTTCAACGTGAGACAGATGCTTTCTTGGCCATGGATTTGCGAGTCAGTGCTTGCCATTCAAAATCGCAACCTTTAGACAGAAAAAAAGAGTCATCGTACGTGTCTGAACTCGAACAAAGACACTGGCATTAGCAAAATGGAACTTTAAAACACAATAGCAAAGCAGTGTTTTGCAGGGGGGAATTCAGCGAAAACAGGCTGGTAAGAATGGGACACGAGTGAGTGTCAAATGAAGGCAATGTGCCACGTGGTGAGAGGATGAGGGGCGACGTTGACAACACGCGAACGGCGCGGGCAGGGGACAAGCTGACAACAAAGAGGATAGTCGATGCAGCACACGGGTGGGGGATGGCAACCAGATCTAGAGACCAGCGAGTCCGGCTTTGGGAGGAAGGGTACCTGGACCGGGCATTGCGGCGGAACGGGGAGCCATCGCACCGCCGTTTGTAGTGGCTGACCCTGTCGCACCGTGATTGGCTAAAATAGCGTCGGAGTTCTTGCCGCGTGTCATCTGATCCAGACTTTTAGCACTTGATCGCTAGACATAAAAACGAAAAATAACATTATTACGAACCTAATCATCACCACTAAAAACCAAGATTTACTGGAGAAGCCTAGGCCTGGTCGGTTTCCAGGATTGAAAACCACCGACTCTGAAGGTGGTGCCCATCAAAGCCCACGATTTCGTTTGCACTGGTAAAACTAAGCCTTGATGGGACAGTGCATCTGACGTACGTGACTTTCTTCACCCTCAGGATCACAGGGCTGATCTAAACAAGAGGGCCAGACCTCGTTAGGTCAGACCAATCACGACCGTCAAAGTATTACGCCACCCAATGCCTGCTTATTTTCCTACTGCTCATCCATCCTCCTTACACAACCGCCCCGAAAATATTTACGCGGATACCGATGTACCTGACCAGCAGGCGAATCAATAGCTGAGTCCTCTCGGTATCCCTCTAGAGCAGGGATATGTGGTTTAGAATGTCAGCAAAAGGATAATATTCCAACTGTTCCCACTGCAATTGACAGCTGCTTCACCAAATTTCGGTTTGCAGAATTGAGGATGGACCAGCTATAAAATTGGGTACTGCTTAAATGCCTGAATCGAGTTTTGTTTCAATCCACCCGGAAAAGTGAAAAGCCAATCTTAATTGGAAATAGCAAAACTGAAGCGCTACGATGGATCGAACCCAAGATGTCTGTTTGTCTGAGGTGTTATAGACACGTTTACCATAAGGAAAGCACCAAATGAACTCACCTCGTCTTCCTTCTGACGCAGAAGACAATCAGCACCCATAATCGCCTCAAAACCGGGACCGTTTTCGCGATCAGCTCGTGGCACTCTGTGTACAGCAAAAAAAGCGTTTCAATTGTGTGGATGATGGGATACTTGAAAGATATCAGAACTCCCGACGACTTACCCGCCGACCTCCCTTCTGTCAGTTTGTCGTCGGGACATCCGCTCAGTGATGTACTTGGCGCGATAATTTTCGTAGTGCACTTCCAGAGTCATATCCTTCAAGTCCTGCATGTGGGTCCTGTTGGCAAAAAGATGTTGGAAAAGAGGGCACAATGAATACACCATGGCGGAATTTCATGCATCAGTGTTAGAATTTAATCCAGACAAGGCATGTTAAGCGTCAATGAGCATTAGAGGTACAAAGTCTGTTAGTCAATTACGAAATCGCAGATTGAAATTGTTGGAGATGGGATCGCCGCAGATGTCGGCTGCAACTAGTACCTTAAAATCAACAAAGGCATTCGCGTTAAGGGAGTGACGGTTTGATCCCAGTTTGTTAGTTTTTGCTAAAATGCTTTTCAGTTTCAAATTATGGGGCATCGACAAACTTCCGAAAGCAGATTGCCCAAGTCCACCGCTGATTTCTTGCGTAGTGAATCACATCCATCAACCCAATTGTCGCATCCTCCGCCACACCAACATCATTTCCCCGCCACCCCTGCCAAACCGTTTGCTCACAGACACCTGTGCGCGTACCTCCCCCACGCTACCCGTCCCATGTATCTGACTATTCAGTCATTTGTACTGCATTGATCAACGACCCCACTAGTCAGATCGTTTATGTGAAGTGGTGTGACAACTTGGTTGAGCGGTTTCGGCTACCCGAGCAGGCTAATTTAACACATGTACACGAAAACTGGAACATCGAGTACGCAAATAACCTTAGGAAGACGCGATTGCAACTTAATGCCAACGGCTTAATCAACGAAACACAAAAGGCAATAAGAAAAGCTTATTAGGGCTAATTACGAGTTCACGTCTCCCGACAAGAGTATTGGGTGCACTGAGTTTGCGTAGGTAAAAGCCGTGGTTTGTGGAATGAAAATTACGGGGTTGCACCCGCGGATTGGATAGTACACGAAGTTGGGTTCAACGCCTCTTACTTGCTTGGAATAACAGTTGAAACCTGATAAAAACGACAACAGGGATTTTTTTCGTAATACGAGCACCACACCGGTGTACCAGGCATTCGATGACCTGAATGCACACGATAAAGATTTACGAAGCCACACGACAGTACAAAAAGTGTTAACTTCGAGTCTGTGGAGAACTTATCTATTATGGGCCTTTGATCCGCGTGAAATGTCATTGGGGATAAGGGACAATTAAAGTACTCTGGACGGGTGTCGAATAGGGGGCGCCTTCAACTGATGCTAGTCTCTGTCACGCCAGCCCTTAGCTAAAGGGATGTAAGCTGCAGATTTCGAGTCCATTCTAGCCATCAAAAAGTTGAAAATGCGTCCAAGTACACGCCCCAAGGGGAGACACTGGCTTAGCGTAAATGAGGTTCGAATCGCATGCTAGCATGTACATGCACATAGGCGTAAAGCCGTAAAATAGGGATGAATCAGCCCTACGGCACACTCCGTTTGGGGGGGGGAGTTGACTCTGCTGCAATAAAGCGGTGATTTCAAATTGGACAAACGCATAGAGTTCACTGAATTAAAGTATAACTAATGACGAAATACCTATTGAAAAAGGTTTAGTTAGTGTCCTAAAAAGATATGTGAATACAATCAACTTTCAGAATTCGCCAGGAAACGCGAAAGTCCTTAATTCCTGCAAAGACAAATTTTGGCGACATCCTTAGACTACTCACAAGTGCCAGAAGCAAGAAATTAAACGACCAAACCGTGAGGGGCCAATTATGGTACAAGCAACACAGACTAGTGTGTTGTGTGCATGAACAGCGACGTGTCACAAATTCACACGTAGGAGTCTACAAACGATGGGGTCAGATTCAATGAAAAATCCGTCGATAATGCAAAAGACGATTGACTAAGTTGGATCTTCATTCGATGAAAGATTTGAGTAAAATGAGTCAGCATCCTAAAGGTAAAGGACAAAATCGAAACATCAACGCATGAGGTTTTCACGAAACCAGCGCATACCGACTGGACTAAAAATTTTGGCACGCAAGTGATGGAGCCTGACCAATCAAACAATTTTTGCCAAGGTGTATAAAAAGCACGTTTGGACACATGAACAAATGAATAAAAAATCATTTCAACCAATGATGTATCGTTAACGAAGCACTCATGCAAAATGTATTCGAATAACATAGAAAAGCATTCGAGTCCGAGGCAAGACTCGTGTCAGTTGAAAGGGAAATACGGGGAACTCACTTGAGAAGGAAGATTCGCAGTTTGGTGAAATCGCAGTGCTTGGGATTTTCAACCTCAACCACTCCCCAGGGGTACTGCCGGCCCCGAACACGCTTCCCTCCCTCGCCCTCGATCACACAGTTGCTCCCGATGACCGCGAAGGGCAGCACTGCCTAAAGAAGAAGGAAGAACGTGGAGCCAGTTGGCTGCGCGCCAGAAAGTAACGCGGCCGAGGCCGTGCGATCGCATCGTGCCGCGTTCTCAAGTGTCTACAGTGGGCACACCACTCAGCAACAACATGTATTCCTCCGGCGAGGAAAAATTGGCCGGCTGGGGAAGAAAATGGGTAATTTGCAACTGGCGACTGGGGGCCATCTGGCGCGTTTTGGCAAACAGTCGAATGGATGATGATGCGCGTGAAATACCCACTAGACAGAGCCACCGGGATTCAGGCTAACAGTCTTTGAATGGTAATGAAAAAAGAGGAGTTATCTTCAGGAAACACTAGCCTGTGAATGAAATCTTGAATCAAACTTGAAAAGACCCGAGGCACGACGTATTGTGACTGTCACCGAGACGGCGGGGTTACAAAAAACGCGACCAAGGGAAGCTGAAGGTGAATGCGAAGGCGTTCTGAGGTGATGGCCTCAACGTTTTTGTATGGCCGCAACTTGTGCAGATTAAGTTCATCAAAAACAATAAAGTCCCCTTCCCCCCAAATGGTAAGCGGATTGGGTACATCGAGGATGTGGAGAAGGAAGCACTGATCCAATTACCCTACACATCTGCAATTTAAGCTGCCAGAAGACGTGGCACACAAAGATACAATGGCGAACACGCGCGGGGGTATCGACTGGAGGAAAAACCCGCCAGACGCGGGCCAGATTTTGGCATGCCGGGCGCATGAGTCATCGCGGGTCTGGTGGCGAACAGGACAATTTGCAGGGAAACGGCGACACGGTGAATGGGTGTAGAGCAAAACCGAAAGAAATTACCCAACTACTCATTACGCCTGTGAGAAACTGTGAGTTTTGGTGTCTACAAACAGCCAGCTTATTGGTGGGTAAAGGAATAAAAAAATGAGTAAGCTGCGGCGAAGCTAGCCTGTGCGACAAGGCCAACAGGTAGCGAAAAAGTTCAGGCAATGCATAATTAGCTGTGTGGGGCTGTTGAGGGGTTGAGCGGCTAAAATACCTGACGAAATACGAGTTATATAAATTCGACTTAGGGGATTGTGTCTTAGAAATGATGCCGCGTCACTGAAATCCAGTTGATGGACGCCGGCTTAGTGAACATTCTGCAATACGACAGAGCCACTTTTGCATACGAATGCTAACAAAGGGAAACACTTAGGCGTTGTAGCTGTACGGACATCGTGAAAAAGCTTAAATGCTTAATTGAATTTGGAAGAAAAGCCCCTACGCATCTTGAACGCATCCACGAACAGATTCCGCACACAAAGCTCATAGCCCGAGTAGATAGGGCCTCAAAGGCGTCGTTTCACAAGTGGTATCAAGTCCAGGGTCGCATTTAGGCCGGTGGTGCTTGTTCATAGAACCTCAGTAACCTATCCGAAGAAGGGAATAACGACCCGATAAACTTGGTTCGCGCACAAAACAGGCACTTGAGGAATGTCACATTTTCCCAACTGACAATCAAGATCGCGAATGCAGCAAGCACAGCCAGTCATGTCGAACGGTGAAGTCTTCGAAGGAGGGAGGCTTCAGGCTGATGGAAAAGTTACACGTCCAATGAGAAGATGAATTTCCATTTGAAAAAAAAGTCCAAATATAGATACTACAGCTCAATTTTAAATGCATAGGTTAACAACTCAAAAAAAGCCACATAGGCACAATAACTTGCCTTAATTTCCCTATCCAATCGCTTAATGTCTTCTTCCTCGTCAGAGTCGCATTCAGGAAGGCGGTAGATGTCGATTTTGTACTTGTCGAGGTCGGACATGATGCGATCCTTAAGGGTGCGCAGCTCACTCGCCGTGAGGGCGTCGGCTTTCGCGATCACAGGGACAATATTCACTTTATTTTGAAGACGTCGCATAAACTCAACGTCAACTTGACGCAGACTGCAAAGACGCATAAAATAGGCGATTACGCCTGTCCAGAAAGCAAATCCAAATTTGTTAATTAAAATTAGGCATTAAACGCGCTCAAAGCGCTCCCCTCCCAAAGCACGATTTCCAGACTGCATGACCGAAACCTCAATCGAATCTCAGTTCGGCTTATACGGCTAACAAGGAACGTACTGGGGCCGCTAGTAACATGGGGAAAATTATCCCTGCAACAGATTGCGCAGTTTCCCCCCTAGCAGTACAAGGCAGGCGAATTGAAAATGCACTAAAGCATGTTCATGAATACATTTTTCACACAAATCTGCAATCAATCAGCCACAATATCTCCAATGGCAAAATGTAACCTCCCATACTGGAACACGCTTCGTTCACGTGATTCCCGTGTTTCTGTTGCTGGAAGAGAATGGCATCGAATCGAGGGACAAGTAGCCTATTAAGCTAGCCATAGTTATTCCCAAAAAAATCGGCTAAAACACTCCAGCACCGAACGTTTTTGGTGTTAGTTTACAGGCTTAGTGATAGGGAATTTCCAAGGGCAACAATGCAACTCCTACCCGTGACCGTAAGGGGAGATAAAGTAGAGGCAGCAATGGACCCGATTGTCTTGGATGTTCTTACGGTTCAAACCACACTCGTCCTTGAAGTACTGCTCGAATGTGCTGTCAATGTAATCTTCAATCGGCTTCCAGCTACGGGAAGAAGAAGAAGCAAATACGGCTTCCAGTAAAACAACAAAACTACAGTAAAGAGGCCCGCCACAACAAAATTATGCGGAGAGAGTTATGAAGCTCGTAGATACAGGCTGAAATACGCATCTTATGAAAAGGTTTGGAAGGCATGAAAATCTACGATGCTTGCGCTAATGTCCATTGACGCCCCTTTTGTGAATTTTGCATTTTGTCAATCAATAAGTGGAACTGACCAGTCTTCCGCATTAACAGCATCGTTGAAGCCGGGGGTATCAACAATGGTAAGACGAAGCTTGACGCCGCGTTCGTCAAGCTCAATCTGCCTCTTCTCGATCTTAGTCACCTTCTTTACCTTCTCACTGGCGTCAACCGATGCTCTGTCCTTGTAAAGGTCCTGCATGAAGAGACTGTTTACTAGAGTGGCTTTGCCCAATCCACTTTCACCTTCGAACAAAAAAGTTAATTGAGCTTGAACTAAACAAAGGAGTGAAGACGATCGCATTCAAAGTAATAGGAAAAGATAAGAGATGGGTTATTCTTCGTACACGCTTAGCTGCTGACATTTACAAGCAACAATCCACAGAAGTCATCAGTTGTACTCAAAAACACAGGCATGTATCTGCCGTTTAGCCAACGCACTATCAAAATGGTCCATACAAAAAGCTACTACTGCTGCCACCGAAAACCTCCGCATGTGCGTGTGTGGCTGCTGAGAATTTAAAGCTAAAGACAACTTCAGTGGTTCTAAGTTCCAGTACGTGCGAGCGGACGTCCGCATCTGGACTTCCCAGAACCAGGCGAGCTGCAGGAGCAATCGAGACGGTGATCTAATCTCAGCTCCCAGCCATGTATTCTAAGGCCGATAAAGCCGAAGGTGATGAAACGGGTTTTTACAGTACTAATCGAAATTTTCTGCTTCCCTAAGCGAATATACAAGTGATTTTAGATGTACCAAGCCCAAAGCCTTTACAAAGTGACCGGATGACCTCAGAAAACCGAATCGGCCTCATTTCCTAAACGTACAAGTCGAGTACTACTTAGAACAGACGAAACCAAGTTTTCAAACTCAAACTGGAAAAAAATCAAAGTATAAACGCGCCACGAGCTACGACTTCCATAACAACAAAAGCTACTGTTAACAGCCATGATAGACAAGTGTTTCTAGGAGGCTATGACTATATTAAGGGTCCTTGAAGTGGAAAACAAGCCTGAGTTAAGGGTTAAAATCATTGCTTAAAGGACATAAAACACTGATGATTAAACTAGCATACATTCCAAACACGAGTAGACGGCCTGTAATGGTGTAGACTATAACAAAGTTTGCTACTCAAATAAGCTTTTGTAGGTCAACAAAGTACACAACAATGGACTAGTCATCAATGAAGAAAGTAAATAACAAAAGTACAAGGTTACTGAGACACCCAATTGGCACAATGTTCTATGAATACGGTGGATGCGAAGAGGACTAGCTAATTCACAAAATCGTTTCGTTTCTAGCAGTTTGTGGGTTCAGCCTCGGATTGTTACTAAGTCACGTCGTCAATTCCCTATTAACAAGGGCAGAATGCCCTTATTGGAGTTTTGTTAAAAGAAGTACAAACAGCTGAATGCACTTTTGCAGTAGGTCTTGTCCATTGGCAACAAATTAACATAAGCTAGTCCTTCTGAACCCCACCACATTCAAGGCAACGGTGAGTGGTGCTTGGATTTCCTGACATATCCATAGTTATCCGCTATGAATGTTGATCAATGAAGGCTACGGAAACGATATCAACGGAATCCAAGGAGATACCTGATATTCCAACGACAAATACAGGATGATTTAGGAGTAACAGGGTGGCCAACGCACACTTAATTTTAAGTTCATTAGCAGCTATTTTGACGACTAAACTTTCGACTGACTGACTGGCGACTATTGTCAGCCAAAGCATTCAATGTAAACACTGCTGATCTCGTTTAAGGTGCTGTCGGAGTACACTTTACTGACTAAGCGCCACTACTTAATTTATGTTTACACACGATTTCACGAATACACATTTCGAGTACTTCCTTTTAGTAAAATAACGCCAATTGTAATAAAATAATGGTGTAACAATAAAAATAATTACACCGTCAAGCTTTCCACGTCAACTAAAGAAAGTGATATCAAGAAGCTGTCACCGAGTACACAAATTCTTGTACTAGCAATTACACTACATGCAAATATCAATGGCGACTCAACCCGACCTCCACTTATAGTCAAAGTCAATGTTGGGAATCATCAAGGATAAAAAAGGTGCATTTTGAAAGAAATTAAATGACATAACGTGTCAGTTTTAAAATTTGGAAAATGGGACTGGATTTTTAAGGTTTAAAACATCTGGTAAGTGCTATTAAATATTAAAATATGATGAGGTAGTATCAAGAGTTATTTGGGCGTTAAAGCATACGAAGTCCATTAAGAACGCGTAACTACATACCGGCAATCATAAGAGTAAAATTAAATCCCTTTTTCACTGCTTTGCGATGCATTTGGTCAGGAATGTTAGCAAATCCAAGTTTCGCGTCCTCATCAGGCTAAATGAGAAAATGAAAAGATGAGAGGCAACACGAATTACCTCTTCTGGGGTCTCTAACTGAGTGTCAAGAATGAAGGATGGAAAACTCTGGGTAAGGGCTTTCATGCGCCGATGGGTATCACGCATGCTTTCGATTCTAGCAACTTTCGGGGACGACAACTGTGGCCCCGTTTCCCACAGGGCGTTTACCGCTTTGGGCGAAGGTTTAGGTGTGGGGGAGTTCGTTGGGGTAGCTTCTCCAACTGCCTCGATTCCCCTATCCCCAAGATTTGCATATTCTGCATAATAAGGTTCTGAATCATGATGAACACGTCTAGACTGACAGCTATCAAGGTCTGAGACAGTTAAAAGGGACTCTGATTCGTCGGAGTCGTCAACCACGAGATCATAATAACCTCCGGAATAGGTGGCAGGCATTGAGAGCATACTCATGGTCTCAGTGTAGCTACCTCCATCACCGCTGATTGTTGAAGATCTGGAGGATCTGTCATTGTTTCCACCAGGACGAAGGCGTTGGAGAAAATTAGGAAGTAAGTTTCGGAACGGACGTGACCTTCTGTGCATGATCCTATGATGTGTTTACCTGAGTACGTGCAAGTGTGCTTCGAAAGTGGTCAATTTGCATAGAGCCAATCGTGAGGTGATTATGCAAATTCTTCAGAAAACGGAAGCACTTAGTCAGTTGAGTGAATAACTAAGCGTGGGATGCAGACTCCGGTCTTGGAAAAGTGAAATATATTAACCGTAGTTTTGGCATTGGCGACAGTTGGTGATTTGAGACGCCGATGAAGAACAAAATTGGACAGGAAAACCGGTAAGTCACCAAATCGACTTACAAACGTAACTAATGTGAAAAGCTTAACTCCTAAGAAAAAATGTAAGGCATTATTGTGTAATTTTTAAAAGGGTGCTGTTTTAAAGTTTACATTTTGAATGATCCAGTGTTAAGGGCAGAACAAAAACATCCAAAGGTCATAAAGGTAAACGAAGTGAGCAAAAAGTTTTCCCGCACCGTCAAGGTAAAGGAGAATCTAACTCAACAATGAATTCCGAAAGATTTAACAATTTGGCTGGTCAGACTCTGGAGAGATGACTTGGATAACAAAATGATTACACTGGGGTGATTACAAGCTAGCATAGAAAGTTTTAAGAGCCAAATGACAGGGTTTACATGCACTGCTAGACCAATGTGGTTTTAAGAGTCCTACGATGACGAAACCCAGGACGATTTCATGAAGGTGGATAAACTGAGACAAAGATTAGCAGAGTGGGTTTCGATCCTAGCAAACGCAAACGGTTGAAAGATGAAACGCACATGGATTTTGATTACAACAAAGAAAAACAATGCAATGGAAGTTTTTGCCTGTCATTTCGATTTATAGCACATACTACAACCTAAAGAATCACAACTGGACCGAAAGAAACGAAATTACGAGCAGGAGGAAATAGTAGTTGACAATGCGTCTAATACTCATACCTGCGAGACTGCTGCAGTTGGACGACTTTTTGGGTCCTCAGGCCGGGTGAGATTTGTGTTAGAAGAATCGCCACTAGCGAAAAACCGGCTACCATTTTTGGCTGTGGTTTCGTCAGTTTCGCCTTAAAATATAGTAATCTTAAATTTTACTTTCTTACGATAGCGACCAGACACATTAAATCGAGGGATGGCCGACATCTACGTTAGTAAAACGTCGCAAACAAGGATAAAAAAAACAATGAGCAAATCAAAAAAAGCGACGCGCGCACTAAATGTGTACAGTAAAACAATCTTGTAGGCTAATATTCCGAAGTTGTTTACACTTCGATTTCCCTTAGTCATATATGCTCGTGTGCACCCACTTGGTCTGTCCAATGAAATGTTACTTAAGCTACATGAATGTAGTTGCTACTCCTCTAGATAAATATTTCGAACCGAAAAATGTGTGTGTTGAATATTTGTGTTGAATGTGTTTGTTGAATATGTTGTTTGTGTTTGTATTTGTTGTGTTCGTTAGATATTCATTATTCTACCCTTCCGCCACGTTTGATTTCTCAAAAAATACATATGAATATAAAACTAGATTTTTAGGAATCATAATTTTCAAGTATGTTATTCTTTGTTTTCATTTACAATGGATTATTGGCAAAGAAATCTTACAAGCGAATATTTTTAACCTCATATTGTGTAAACACTTAATCAGTGCCACTTAATTTGTGTCTAATACTAATTTAACAAAATTTACGTGCATTTTTATGTCATGAAATAAGCACTGAATACGACCTTATAAAATGAAATTCAATGCCGAATTGTGTTTTCTGTTCCTTTAGACTTTCATCTCCATATTAAGTTTTTAAACTCGATTTACTTTAAAATGTTTTCATTGCATGTAGTAAGTTAATGTCACAGTTTTGTGGCTGGAAAATATTTGAACGAAATTGTTTTTGACGCAAAGGCTCAGTGGAACTTGAACTAATAGCTTACTTTATAAATTTTTGTGAAATCATTTTGCCATTCAAATATTGTTTTCACCAATTATAGAATTTATCATTAATATCAGGAAATGTCACAGTTTTTCCTTAGTTGAGTAACTCATTATTTTTGAAGAAACCTTTACGTTGTTACACATGGATGTTGAATGTGGTCGTCCCTAATGTGGACCAAAACAGCCATTTCCAAGTTTTCTCTTGTTTAACAAGCTATTATAATACTGTAAGTGTGCATGAATTGTGCTATTTTTATTACGTGTTTTGGAAGAGCGCCAAACACCGGCAATGCTTATAATGCCAAGTTTAGTTTGTGAAAGTAAATCAGACTTGATTGACATCAAGGGTTGATGCGAAAATATCTGGTCAGGTGGCCAGATAACAACTATTCGTTCAATATGACTGTACCTAAACTCGTTTAATGTGATGCTCTCAAAACTCTACAGAAATCCGTGGACCTTGCCGAATGAGCCGGTTTCCTCTCCATTGGTATCAAGCGGCTTACAAGAATTAGTCTTTTGTTTAGGTCTCAAAAATATTGCAATCAGCCAATGTATCGGACCATGGTGCATTCAGCAAATTCTTGAGACTACGTGATTCAATGTGTGGACTTTCTTCTAAGTGAGAAAATGGTAACATTTTCGATGTTAATCTTGAGGAATTCGCTGTTTTAATTAGGGAATCGACGTACTTGTTCGACCATGTAGCTCGTAGTTCTGTGTTCAATTTTATCTGAAAAAGTAAGGCAAATAAATCACGTGTCATTCTGTAATAACACTATTGATGATAAGTTGGTCATGCTGTTGGACGGTGATAAAATTCGTAATTACGAGATGCGGTATTCAGCAGCACATCTGATGTTAATATTCATGGTGAACGTTTCAGTGTTTTAAGCAAAACGTTTTGAATGCTGACTTGCCCAATAAATTCCGTGAAAATGCTGTGTCTTGGTAACAACATACTGCAAAAAATTAAGCAGCCGAGGGAAAAAACTAGCTATTCCCTAACAGTGCGACGGTTATTGATTTTTCCAAAGATATAAAATTCCCTTCCAGTTTCATCCTCCAATTGCTTTAAAAATGTTGGGAATTTAAATATTAATCTCTTTTTTTCGTTAAGTTTACTGAAGGACAAACTTTGCTAAGGAATCTTTACAGAAATTTACAAATATTCCACCAAGATTCACGTCTTGAACTGCACAAGGTCGCCAAACCTCCATTCCACAATCCAAATTAATAGTCTACTAGATTCCATTTATTACTTTGTATGCGCTTGAGCACACAGCACCCTGCATTGCATTGGCATTGCTGAACATCCAAGGGGCTTCAGTAAAGGCGATTGTGGGGATTTAAACCGGCACAATTTGATTCCGCAGATTTTTATTCCTCCTCAACGACGTAAAAAAGCTTATTCTGTTTGGTGACCCCGGTTTCTGTACAAGTTACTTTTAAATGCTACATTTGGAAGGAGTCGCGCGGTATGCCTATTGTTACACACTCTGTGTTATAGTATTGCATTGACATCAATGCAAAAACCTTTGAATAAACGTACGAAGTAATTTCCATCCATGCACCACTAACCTCAGATTTAAACAAATTCAGAAAAAGTTATTAGTTTGTCTAGGTTACGACAAGCAAAACCACTAATACCGTTAGGATCACTGACACATTTCAAGTGATCAACTGTTGCAGGAGGACATATTTGATACTGCCCTTAGTTTCTGACCATTAACTTCTGCCCGAGACTACGTGCTGAAAATCTGAATAAAACACATCACCAAATTAAGTCCGATGCAAGAACACAGCACATTTCAGTCCTTTAATATAAATTTTGCTCTCTTAACTGTTTCGTCTTCCACTATCCATAGCAGCTGTGTGTTTGATCACGTCAGATACACCACGAAATTAGAGCAATCACTTTTTCTAAAAACGGCAGCTTTAGTAAATTGTATGATTGTTTGCGCGATCATATCTTCACGGGTAATGGTGCGAATTATCTGCGCTTGTCATCAGAGTGGGTAGCGATTTTCTATGTGAGTGGAAGTCGGAATTTTTTGAAGAAGGTTATACACTGTCCGTGTGTAACAGAGCCCAAAATGCAACCATCGTACCAGAGTACCCATCAATTATTGGTTGCTCGGTCAAATGAGCCTCTGATGCAGCATTGACGAAAAAGCAATCAAGACAGAATCACATGCTTATTCACGCATGGTTAAAACGGTCAAAAGAAACTTGAACAGTTTGAGCAGTCATTTTAATTCACATTTGTGGCTGCGTGGTTGAATGGCAGGGCAATTTGAAAGTGAAGTATAGTATGGAGGTGGATCAGATTTGATCAAATACCGTGGGGGCGAAAGGTAATACAAAAAATAAGATTTTTGTTGTGTCTGGTGAGGACAGAAAAAAGGGGAATGTTAAAACACCTCGCTAATGTTCGCTTATTTCGTTTGCACTGGTTTTGCGACGAATCTTCTTTAAGAGGTTAGACACTTTCGGCCTCTCTCCCTCCTCCGCCGTTTCTTCGTTTTGTTCTCTCGTGGGTGCGTCATCAGTGTCACCCGTTTCATCGACTTCTCTCAGCTCTTCTGTTGATATCGTAAATTTCCTCTAAAATAACCAACGACACGTTTTGAAAAACGTGATCTGTCGACGATTTACTCAAACAGAATTATTTGTTCTACAATAATTTGATAAAAAAGAAAGAGAAACAGATGTTTAAAATCACCCACTAAGCAAAACTCCAACTTGCAGATGTACTATGTGTAACAACCAATGTTTGAATCCTAACAGTTGTAGGGGCTAAATACGATTGGTCGAAAGTTGTTTCAATGACACTGTAGGTCAAAATAGCTATCGGAGTCTTAAAGTAAGTGTCAGTACACCGATGTCCCACGGTTTAAAAAGTGCAGCATTTTTTTAATGAGAAAACATCGACTTATAAAATTAACCACCATTACTATTGAAATAAACAAACGAATAGAATTTGCCAGCTTTCTTGACTGTCCGGAAGATGACGAATGCAAATGTAATTTGAATGAAATAAGATTTGTTACCCAATTTACAACGAAGCATACTGTTTACTAGTTTGTGTAAGAATATGTCTGACATCCGATTCAAGATTCAGTGGCTCAAGCACGAATACATACCGATTGAGTGCGTTAATACGGTTACGTGCCTGCTACACAAGCTGTCTCGGTTTCATGTATACGCAACTCTTAATTCAGCTCCGAGAACCTGCGTCAATGGCAATGACTTCCTAATAAGCATTTAAGCCCTTTTCTGCGTGAAGGTCTATATACACATCCAAGCGCTAAGTAAATGATATAATGAATATTTGGAAGTTGGCGATAACAACTTGTGGCAGGAGACTTGGATTTACACGATCACTGACCAACTGTTCCGTTGATGCAAGCAGTTCCAGTGGAACGCCCTGCTTGACAAGATCCTTTGAGTGCAATTCAGCCATCTTCTCTGCTATGCTTAGCTTGCTCTGGTAGAATTCCCCTTCATTCAAGAGGGAGTGGAGAGCCTGACAGGAAGTGGCATTTCGCAGGGCCGCAGAACTTCCTCCCACACCTGTGCTCCACACCTGGGACACATTCAAGTTATTGTTTTTAGGAGCTGCCTCGGTGGTTTCACCATCCACGCCTTCTTCTGCATTCTCGCCCGCATTTTCTCCTCTAAGTCCCAGCTCAAGGTCAGAAGGAACGTAACCCAATGTGCGGGCACAAATGCCTTGCAGAAATTCGGTGCGGTGTTCATCCTGAGCTGGACCCCAATCGGTAATAGGCTTGGAAAACTCTCGAAGTAGCTAAGAATTAAACAAAGGCAAAAAATACTCATTAGTCCTGTTAAGGTGGTTATATAATGTATGTACGATTGCTGATGGCTAGATTCAGTTTAGTGCAGCGTCAGATAGGCAAATGCGAGGAAATAGTCTTCTCATAAAACGGTTTGGTGTTGATACTTTTCAAACAGCTGAATGTTTCTCTAACGCAATTACTTACCAGCCAGCCACCATCGCGGCAGTATTTGTAGACGAAATATGCAACAATCATGAAGATCGGTAAGACTGCAATTAGTTGGCCCATCGCTTGGATTCCGGATGGGTAAACGTAATCACCCAGGCCGAATGGTTTACCACTAATAATGGTAAAAATAATCAGTCCCAGCACCATAATTGGCGAGACGCCCATCCAGCATATTCGCCAGTACCAATTAGGTTTCGAGTCGATCATGAGCTTGACGTCTCTCATGAATTGCTTGATACCTGTTAAATCCAGACATAAATTAAATATTCACTCGGAATAACTGCGTTGGTATATTCAGTCGAGTACTTACCGTAGACATAAGAGATGACTATGAGTTCCAACAAGCAGATAATCAGAACTGGATAGCCCGACATCACAGAATCGACCAAATTGACAAGGTAAATTCCAGCGGGACAAACCATTGGAATTGTTATCAGAAAATTGATGCTGCACAGGATTATTCTTTAAAAAGTAAAAAAAAATTGAAAAAAATGTGGTTACCTTGAATTTGTGCAAATCAAAGCATATAATGAATACAACTGACGGATGCAAAATCGTAATCTGATGGTTGGATTAAACATGTAACTACACTTGGCGTCATAGTTTGGAAACATTATTTTCGTTATTTCCTGTCTTAAACTCACTCAATCAATCAATCGTAATCATGTAAGCTAGAATGAACCCCTTTATTAGGTGCTACGAGGTTCACAGTTTGATGACTGCTAACAGGTTGGTAGATTTGTTTACACAGATGTGGAAATAATAACCTACCTGAAACCCAACCGTGATTTCCAAGTACTGAGAAAGTTGTAGCGCCGAAATTCATCTTGGAAGCCTGAGAGGACGGTCTCAACGTAGGGCAGTTCGCTTCCCAACCCAAGAGTTACCAGCATCAGGAAGAAAAGAATTGACCAAAGCACAGGGACGGGCATCTGGTTCAACGCCTCAGGGTACACCATAAAAACCAGTCCTGGGCCTATAATACGGATGCTTATGCTCACTTAAGTGCTACGCATTCAGGGGAATAATTAATGCGCTTGCATTACTATGAAAGAAGCCAATTAAATAACAAGAATTTGTTTCAAAGACTCCTCAATAAATTTCCCATATCTTTAGAGTTTTAAATTAAGCCTGATAAACTCAGAATTCTCAGGATGATTAAAGCACCCTAATTCATCCATTTTTAAGCGACCGTTAATTTAATCTCTCCAATGACATGGCTGCATAGAGGTTTAACGGTTACTGATACAGGAGTGTCGTTTTCAAAGTGAGAAAAATAACTGACTAACGAATTGTTGCGTAGAATAATCGAAATTGCAGAGTAAGACTCCGCAGTTCGTTAGGCATTCGGACTTAATTTTCCCCAGACAGCCAATAAGCACACTCAGTGGACACAGAACATACGCCACCTGGAAACAAGTACGATTGTAGGCCAGACGCAGGAACGCGAAGATCCTACCACAGACCATGCTTGTTTAGAGCTGCTTTTCCAAATTCGAAACTTCACAATGTATAGAAGTTGAGGGCATTACATAAAAAAGCAAGCCAATGGTATGGCACCACGGTGTATCTAGGGCACTGATTTTGTCTGGCTAATCAGCTGAATTACTTAATTTAGTGTGCACTTGAAACCAAGGGTTTTCTCTAACACTTTAGCAGACTTCACGATAACCACGCATTCTATGACTTCAGTCAAACGAAACAAGAGAAACATTCTTACCAGACTCAACAACATCCTCGACGGCAACACCTTTTGCGTCAGCCATGAAGCCAAGGGTAGCGAAAACCACAAAACCGGCAAATACGGAGGTACAGCAGTTGATTGTGGCTACGAGAACGGCGTCCCTGAAACAGAACCGACCCAACGTTTTGCCTTTTGCCATTGCAAAACACCAAAACCAGCGAATATGCAAGGTTAATGTGGATGTCACGCGATAACTCAGCGCAAATATGCAACCAACCTGTAGCAGTTATTTTTGAACTTGTTGTAGCTAGACATTGCAATGAGCCCACCGTTGCAACAGCTCAAGGAGAAGATGATCTGAGTGGCTGCGTCAGTCCATGCAGTGGGGTCTTTTAACTTTGAAAAATTCGGGGTTATGTAGTACTTGACACCTTCTAAGGAGCCCTTCAGTGTCGCTGCTCGAACCATGAGAATCGTAAGCATTATGTAGGGGAATATGGCGGTAAAGTAGGAGACCTACAATCGAAGTAGGAAAACATTGCAGTCTTGGTTCTAACTGCTGACACAATGATACAAATATGAAGGTACCTCGGAACTAGATTAGTGATGATCACATGGCATTACTAGGAATAAATTATAATTTTTTGGAAGCATTTAATGAACCTCTGATGATTGAATTATGACTGAGAATTGGTAAAAAACCTACCTTTCCAAGCGATTGGATACCCTTCACCAAACTGACGACTACGACGATCCAAGCAAACAGCAGGCAGAGTGTCATGTGCCAAACTGGGGTCCCAAAATCCTCAAAACTATCCGACTTCTGCAGGACGAAACCACTGAAATTTTTAAAGGAATGCAATGTATATCAAAATAGCCACGAAGCTTTCCTACTACAACTTATTTGGCATTTGGTATACTGGGTGATTGACATTTAGATCATTGGTTACTGATTTTGTTGACCAGCCGTTTACCTGCCTTTGTACGATTCAATATAGACAGTTAATATAATCGTGGGCCAGCGGGGCTTTACAGGCACGCATTTTTCATACTTATAACTATTAAATGGTTCTGTCTGAACCTGGAAGAAGGCTTTTTGGAATTCATGCCTAAAAAATCTCAGCATCTCTTTGGAGTTTGTTATCAGCCATTTAACACATCTCATATTGGCATAAAAAGGCTGAAGTTTATTTTTTGTCAAATTACCATTAAATCGCGCTAGTTTTCTATGGTCCCACTGTAGAACGTTGCCTGGTACAAACTACCTCCCAACATTAGTTCCCATACCAAGTATTTACTAAAGCACCCGAATACCAAAAGTAGTATGGGAATAGTGATGTGGCAGACTAGATTATCTCCTCACTAAAATTAGAGAAACCTAGTTTGCGCATGGACAATGCAAACTACGGATTTACACCTATTTAAAAGTTGTTTAATTAAAAACTTCGGTGCACAGCTGCAACGGGTACTCGAATCGCTCAGAGGCAGTCTTACTATTCTGCTTGAACTTACTTATAATATTCAACGGCTGGTGAGGTTGCCCCAGCTGGTATGGACGAAATATTTCCGGAGCCTATAACAGTGAAAATAGACATCGGAAGTAACTATATCAATTCTTTATTTATACAAATCTGCCTCACAATACAAAGTGTAATCCACACTAAAAACAGGTGGCCATACTAAGGTCAGACTGCAGGAAGTGTTGATCAAAAGTTACGGTGTTTGTTTTACGTCCACTTTAAGGGCTCTGACAATGTTCCCAAATTAATAATACACGTTGTAACAGTTTTATAGAGAAAGAAGGAAATAGGTCAGTGATCAGAGAGCATTGCTGTCGTAACCACGGTTACCAGCCTCAGCATGCAATGATCTCTATTATCACTACCGTGTAAAATGTACTTTTAGTTCTAGGTGAGTAGCTGTGACTAGGGGCAGTGAATAAACATTTCAATAATCATACTTTTAGTAACAACTGAAATAAAAAGACATCTTTTTTGAAACCAAAACTTACCGATGACATAGCACGTGCTCTTGTTGTTCCACCAGTTGTCACAGGTAGACCAAGGCAAAGTGCTAGTGAAACTGGCAAAGAGGTAAAAGAATCCGGTTGCAATGATCACATTGTAGTAGAGTGAAATGTACCACGAGACTGTTGTCATTGCATATCCGACTCCTACAGCAAAATAAGAAATAGTCATAAATTTCTACATTTGATGGCCCCTCAGCTCCAGCAACCAGACTCGCAAAACCAGAGATTCTAGCTTGTGTCCGTAATACTTTATGAGTTAACAAAGATCGTACTTTACCAATAGGAATCGTTGTAGTTATGAACTTCTTGATTGGGACGCTCCCCTGTCAAAGTTTGCATCTTTTTCATTGAAGCTTTATTAAACCTCCTTAATGGACGTATGCGATAATTCTGTTGTTTATGCAGCATAGTTAGCAAAATAACCCTTATTGGAGTACCAAAACCAGCGGTTGTCTGCTATTGCGGCTACTTTTCACGGAATTAATTAACACCACCTATGAGTGAATTTATACATGGCTGAATTAAAAGCGCCACCGGAACCAAACGCAAAGGTTCAATGTTTGTGAGAAAAGATGGACTGAAACAAGCTCAAAGGTATCTTGTATTCAAAGGTTAGAACCGACATTTCTCAGTTATTATCTTGCCAAGGCGACTTGAAATGCTCTCAGAACGTCCACTTCAGACCCCATAAAATGGTTATTTTAAGTTAGGGACAATCGAATTTCTCATCAAAACAGGAGGAAAGGAAATGAACGCACTGAAGCACTAAAACAAATTACTTTTGGTGGAGTTTCAGGCAACTTCGCTGCACAGGACGTCCGGTTATAAGAAATAGTAAACATTGTTAAAAAGAAACACGTATTAAAAATATGGTGAAATTCATTGTGTTTTTGATTGATTTTGTTGTTTTCGAAGTTAACGTGTGCTATGGTCTAGCTTATTGGGCTCATGTCTAGAGGAATCAACAATTTTATGAAAGTGTTAGTTCTGACAGAGAGTAGACCCCTTTAGGGCAAAGTTTACCTTGAATCAAAGCAACAGAGTCAAAACGCAAAATTTGGTTCGAGCCTAAATCCACCGGCATGACCCAAAAGCCAATTATCAATGAGAACCAGTGACAGTCGACTAGATCAATGAAATTAAATAAAACCCTGCAATAGTTTTAACGATGTTGACAATATGCAGGCAGAATACTGCCATGTAGGGAAGCACATAATCACACGAAACTACTCTAAATACCATTATGAAAAAAGTATTGCATTGTACAGTAATCGAAAAACCCTTTTACCCAGCTAACGTTTTACTTTATCTGGATTGATTTGATAGTTTGGGAAGAACTCAATATCTGTCTAAAGCACTTATTTTGGTTTTTTCCTAAGATTAAAAAGGCGTTTTGGGTGTGTCAGCTTCAGAGCTGTAGGCAAAGCGAAACGCCTATGTTGGTGAGGATAAGCCGATTTAAAATAAGGCCTTCAAACGGCTCTGAAGGTGAATAAAGCCGCCCAAATTAAAAAGACAGTTTTGTGGTTATTTTTGCCATTGATTTTTCTTAAGCATAACTGTTGCAAACTACTGCTTTACCTTTAAAAAGGGGACTGATTGACCAAATTGAAATCGGACCCAAGCTTGCGAATTGCCCAAAGGCGAATTCCAGGAAGAATATAGGAAGTCCCACGCAAACAAGCATAATTACGTAGGGAATGAGAAAGGCTCCTAAAAATGAAATAGCATTAGTTCTGACAAAATTTTTGTTTGAATAACCTGGATGTAAACTGGTGTAGACGTTATGCTTAATTCAAAACGTAATGCGCATAATTTGCTCTCATCTAAAACACGCAAAATTCAAAGTCCGTGTTGGTCATTTGTTAACCAAAATGCTCATAAATCAGAACAAAATTAACAAAATTAATTTCATCTGGGTCAGTCAGGTCAAGGACAAATAAATAGTTGTTTTGAAAACCAATTATGAATCATGCTATAAGCTCACAGGCAGACATCTTGGATGGTGAGCTAACGTGCATGGCGTTACAGAAAAGGCAATACTTTACCTCCACCGTTTTTGAAGCAGAGATAGGGGAAACGCCAAACGTTGCCCAAGCCGACAGCGAAGGCAACGCATGAGAGGATGAATTCGATTTTGAGGCCCCAAGAGCCGCGTGCCGCGGGGTCGTTTTCGTCAACATCCAAATCTAGATGCTGGACACAAAAGAATAATGCTTGTATAAAAGATGTGCCAAGTGTTTCGAGTATCGTATTTCCACTCAAGTCAGATTTTTAAAGCAGCGGGGTAGTCCCCAAGCACAATTCATCCTTGAAATTACTTATTCGTCCACGGAGTTTTCATTTGAGACAAGTACGTTTATTGAATTACGAATTTTCTACAACCACGAAAGTAATTTAAACGTGTTAGTTAAGTTAAACTATGTTCGTATTGCAAAGTATTATTTGGGTGAAATGTGTTTCTGAAACACAAATTCCGCAGTTGCATCAAAGAAACCAAATCACCTGTTACATTTTGCGTTCTGAGGTGCAAATAGATTAGTCACACAAACATAGCTTGTGCCTGGCAATGCTCTTACTAAAGATAAGGACAAAATTTCCTCTGCTTGCATCATTTGCAACCAATGGCAGTTAGGCATCGAGGAACGATACTAACTCCAAGGTGTTTTTTGCTGCCAGGCAGGAAGTTGCCTTTGAAACTACTTTTAGCATCTATCCGCATCTCATGCTGCTGCCTCTTGTTTCGATTATTTAACCGAGCGAAGAATTTTAACTGATTAAAAAACGAACTCCTGTGGATAACAGCCAAGGAAGCCATTTCTAGTTGGTCAGTTTCTTTCCTTCTAGAGCGTCAATATAAGCGATGTTAGCTGTTAAAGGGACAAGATCACAACTAGGACGCCGATAGTATTCACCAAGTCTTATAGTTGAACTTGTTGCAGTGGTAATTTTTATTCATGGGAATATGACTCCCCCATTAAACTCCAGCTCAAATAATTACTCGCTGGAAATTATCGTGATCTATAGTTTCGAAAACACGGTAAGATTACTTCCTGAGAGTTGCAGGCTTTTGGAGTCCTTAGGATTTTTCTCAGTGGCTACCGAACTAGCGTAATCTATGCAGAATTTTTAATGAGGCTTTAAAAAAGTAACGCATCTCTTTTAGTCACACATGGTAAGAACCGTGAAATCGCGCATAATGCTAATTTGAACTAATACTATTAAGGCTTATTTAAATTTAAGACTCGGCGTAGATCGTCACTTTCATCATCCAAATATAATACCGTTTATTGGTACGAAAAAATAGTGCTTAAAGGAAACTTAGATGATAAATTGGAAACAAATCTCTCTTGCATGTTTTTTTTTCTACAGTGATCACAGTGCTCATGAGTTTGATAGAATCTAAAGTGTAAATGTGGGGCGCTGGCAAGTGTTTAAGATGTAGCCTTGACCTGATTTTCATGGGTGATTCAGTGTGTCATACACTTGAACTCTTCTAGATGCGCACAGGAGTAGCTGCACAAAATTAAATGCAGTCGACGCCCTTTGTGCCGAAGATAACGCCGCACAGCTTCCAAAATAATGGTTTTCAATAACACCATGACATACTGGAGAGGGTGGTCATGCACTAGACATAAGCTGGTACCAATAAATCAAGTGGTACGTCACAAGGCTCTAAAAATCACATGCAGGATTGGGATGACCCGGTTTCATACATATATTACGCCATCAACAGTCTCTTGTGGCATCAAGCGTACACTATGAAAGAAAATGACACAGTGTCTGGTTTGCTTATGCAGTGATCTCCCGGAAAAAAATATTTGAGTGAATAAAATCACCATAGACTTGTGGATAAATTTTCTTTTCCGAAAGCTGGACTACACCAAAACACGTAAAGCACACTCATAAATTACTCCAAGGAGGCGCCACATCTAATCTGTCATGGGTCACACATTCGTTGCCTTTCATGGAGAAACATTTAAATTTATATACTGTGGTACGAAAAAGTTTTTTTCCAAATTTAAAAAAGCAAAGTTGTATCCTCTCCCTAATGCAGCAAAAGCTACCTATTTTGTGGTGGAAGATTAATGTTTCACTCAATTATGAAATTCATTTAAGTTTCACACAAGCACGGAAAATAAAAACATTATCAAAACGCCAAGTAATCGCACTAAGAACTGGAAAAAATTAAGAGTCGAAGTGGATTTAATCATGCCTCAAGAAACAATCTTTGAAATGACCCAAATTAGGAGCAGTAAGCTGCCTTTTAAAACTACTCATTTTTATCCAAAGTAGCCTTACATAACTAATTTCCCAAACAGAGTCCATTTTAACTTGTCTGTGCATTAAAACGGGAGACAAAATTATCGTGAAATAAAATGTATTTTATTGAAAGTGCAAGATCGTAGTAAGTTAGGATTGAACCAAATTGACAGAACAAATCTACCTTTGTTTGGTGGATTCAATTTATGTATTTACCAAATTATACAATGATTTCTTACTTCTTCAGAAAAGCAAACATGAATGTGAATCAGTGGTCTTTTCAAAGCTTCAAAGTGAACTACAAAACAATGTGCAATTGAGACTATCAGGACTAAGTGCGATCCATGCGCTGAGACGAAAAAAATTGCCAGAAGGTTAGTTGGTAGACGGACAAGCAAACTAGAAAAGCCAAGGTCATCACCACAAGCACTTGCCCCTTACAAATGTGAGATTTTACATCGCAAATTACCACACGTTCTCGGTAAAAACTGAAACCCATGGACTGCTTACTTCAGAGTCCTGTTTTGCAATAGAAACTGTAACGTCGTCGCCATTTTTCTCAGGTGTAACACTGTCGTATTCGTAGTCCCTGGCTTCTGGTATGACCGCGTCGGGAAGCCTCGGGTCCCGGTCCTCTCTCGTTTTTGATGTCTTCATAGGCATGTTCAATTCAGCATAAAGTCGCACACGGGAAATTCCCCCGAATAAGTATGCCAAAATTGTCTCAGAAACCAATCACAAGAAGGAGCACGGACGCACAGCGGACGTGCGCGCGTTCTTGGCGCGACTATTGGAGGTTACGCTGGCACATTTGGTTTAGCAGATTCCCTTTAAAGTAGTATCTAGTGAAAAGCAAAAACTTCTGATTGATGTAATAAAAAACTTTATTTCTTTGTTGATCAAAAGCTCATGTTATCATAAATTCACCGGATGGCTAGGTATATGTCATGATGACAATGAAACTCTAGGGAAAACCATAAAAACAACCTGCGAAATATAAAGTTCATTATTTCGAAATAGATTGGTAAAACCAATTCGCACTAAAGCATTCATGCATATGAAACATTACCTTCTTATAAGTCTCAAGAATCTTTTAAGGGTAAGATCTTTTGATTGAACGATCCACACTACCAGTTTCTACAGTCTAACGCCACGCTCTTGACATTGATATAAATTGTATCCTAGCCTCGATGTGTTTCACAACAACTCATTTAAATTTATTAACAGTTATTGAAACATTTTTGAAGATTTCGAACTTTTCCAAAATAAACACTTCTAATTTTGTTCAATGGAAATGAAATATTCTGAGGCGAAGTAGCAAGTCAGTATCAATCTTTTTACACGATGGGCTGTCGTTAGTTGAACCCACCTCATAAAATTGCCCTTGGAAAAAGCCAAAAGATTTTATTAAAATGTGATTAAGTTAATGTGATAAGTTTTCACACCTGGTGTTATATCGAACGTTTGAGGACGGAAGCTAATATATATTCAAGTGCTTCCACACTGACTGAATTGTTAAAAGTAAACAATTTAATGGTCTATCAGGCCTCTTCATGCGTAAATAGGTGAGATCCAGTGTTTTTGCAGGCACCTTTCTGACAAGATCCGCACTTTGAATCAAACAGCTCAAGTCTCTTTGACCAGTTCCTGGATCAACAGGTCTCCATATACAATGATTATGGTAACCCTGTACCTCCGCGCCTTAGCATTTCATAACCTAGGTCAAATCACTGAATAGTAAAGAATTATGTGAGCACTTGTATTTGTGTTTGCCATGCTAAAATTGACTCCTGGCAATGGCTAAAGTTTTGAATAGGTGTTTATTCTATTTACGGATTTACACTTCGTGCATTGTCAAAGGGATTAGTTATTATCCGGTTTTGTGAAGTTTCTTTGAGTGAAGATACTTGTTTTGTCGTGTCTCAGAAGGTCTGATAGGCTATTTGAAGATTTTCCGTGTGCACTTTTATTTGTAATGATAATTTTTGTAAACAGCCAATAAGAAGCTCGGTAACTAGGTTCACACAATCGCCAAATGTATAGCAACTGCCAGCAGAGGGCACACAGACCTCGCCTTTAGTTTGTATTCACTACAACTGAAAATTTCAGGTGACCCTAGTTTCCATCATCACGTTAAGCATATAAAGAACTTTAAGGTAAGTCATTGAAGCAAACCGTGGTTATGTTAGCGACGCGATGCAGCAGGTGGGCACAAAAAACACTCCTTCATAAGAAATTTTTAGTTAAAGAACTCCATATCCATGGAAGTAAGTATTCGTACAAATTACTCTTGTTAAAATGGGTATAAAGTATTTAGTGCTGAATCCCAGACCACAATAGGAGATCGCATTTTAACAGATAATGCCTAAAACCAAAAATAACGATTGTTACTTTGGCACCAATCGCGCACCATCGCTAAAGTCTATTTTCGAAATTAACTGATAACAATCTACTGCTTGTTGTCTGCAAGAATACCATTTCTGTTTCAACGTGTACATTACAGGTCTGAAATATGAAGACGTTTGGCTACGCTGGACTCCTTAAAATGGCAAGTAAGTTAAAAGAAATACCTGGGCAAGTTTGACCCTCAACATTTTCATAATGGAAATGTCACACTGCACTTTGGTGATGTTGGTTGATATCGTTTTTGAATGGATTTGGGGGCAATACATTGATAATCATTAATTAAATTGACCTTCGTAAACATGTATAAACAATGATTAATATGGATTAAAACAAAACGAAAAGATTATTAAAGTCTTCATTATTAATTGTGCGGAGCAATTTCACTGTCTACAAAATTTGGCTTTCTTGAAGCCTAAATTTGCTGATAAGGTTCAAGCTGTCATAGAAACACGTCGATTGATCAAGTGAAACCGATTTAGGGTAAACTGAATAAGATGGATCGAAGGTCAACGTCTGAATTTTGCTTGCCACCCGCTCTTTTTGCATAGCTGGATTCGACAATGATGCAAAATCATCTCTTCCAAACTGTATGCAGAGAGAGTACAAAAGCCCAGCTTTGGTAGATTCTTCAATGCACTTTAAAATACCACAACGATTTCATTTTCAGGCTTTAGTTGTCATTGCTCATCTTTGTCTAAACTGAGAAATCCTCTACACACCATGCATGTGCTCCTTGTCACGAGTTTGTAACTGACCCGCGGATTCAAACAACGCCGTAAGCCTCCACTTTTAATTAATTGATGGAAAATTCCTTGGCTCACAGTTATACTAGGGCATGAAAGAAGACAAGATATCCGAAAACAGTTCAAAATTAAAATATTTGATAAAAGGCTGTCTAATGGGTGTTTCGTCCCACCACTTGATTTAGCTTTAGGCCGAGATAATCTAGAGCTACAAATTTCTGACGTTTTTGTGCGGATTATTTCAAAGCCTTGTGTCCCTTCCAATATTAGTCAACTAATGTTTCTCCAAATAGCAATTATCCAAAAAATCAGACATGTAAGAGAGAGAAGTGTCGCAATCAGTTACTGTTAGGTGTACAGCAGACAGATGTCTTTGGAATGGAAATGTGTACACAATCGATCCGTATTTGGTGAGCGGGCTTTATCAGTTTGGATCATAGCAATGAAAGGCAGGAAAAGTCATCATTGCAGTGGACTCCGCTAGATTTGTTCATTTGCTAGTTAAAACGGAAACTTTTTTGAAGGGAAAACTACTCTTAGTCATGTGTAAACTAAGCGTTGTTAATAAACCGGTGTAATTTTATTTGCATTTAACACTGCAGCTGGAAATTTCCGAAATGACTATAAGGTCTCGAAACGGGAGGATAGTTTTTTTTAAAATTTGCATAATTACATGCAAAAGCTCTGGAAGAAAAGGTGAAGCTATAGAATTAAGATGTGTAGTCTTCAAACTTGTGGAAAAATCAAGAACCAGACGATTTTGCAATTATTCAAGCCCATAAATCACCTTAAAGTCCTTTAACTTTAACCCAGTTCGTTCTAGTTTAAAGCACGTGATTCATAAACTAAAACAGTGGTATAAAATTCCGAAATATGACTATGTTATACATGTCAGTGATAGTGTCTACTTATGGCAGATCTTTGCTGGGACTTGTATGAATAATGTAAAAATGCCTTCTTAAGGTAGCGATTTCGATAAAAATTCTACGATTAAAATCGAGTTTACTGTTGCCATTAATGACAAACATGTGCGTACAACATTAGAATCATTTAATTTTTTAATCATCCCGATTTCAACACTAGATTTTTTTCTGCTTAAATGGGCTTACTTTGAAATTTAGGCGATAAATTCCGATGTTTATATGCCAAAACAACTAATGGGCAATTCAATGCTCGTTTTCCTGCATCTTGACTCATTCGAGCTCACTGCAGGTTACTGTCACGTGCTGAATTCTCAAGCACTCGTGTGGAGGTGTGGCCACTGAGCACTGGAAATGGCAGGTGACAAGCACGCACGTGCATCGTGTTCTCGAAGATGATGGATGATGGAAACACCACGTAACAAATCAGTTTTGGGAGTCACTCCTGTGATTGCGTCTTCAAAAGCACCTACGGTTTAGATTTTTGAAAAAAAATTACCTTTGACTTTGCATTAGCAAAAGTGCTTTACATGTTTCGTAACATAATGTCTAATATCTAACTTACCGTTAATTCTAAAACAACATACCACCAGTTTTAATCATGAAAATCTGACATTCATTTAGTTGTGTTAATGGGTAAGATCTTCTTTTTTGTCACCGAAAATGACAATTGTCATAGTAGAGTTCAAAATCGAATGTTCAATTAGTCGAACAGTCGAACCTGAAAGTCTTTACTTTAAAGCCAATATTAAAACTGTGGAATCCAAAAATGCTAAGAAATACTTGCTGGCAAGTGCTTATTACCCAGAAATATTTATTTATGCACTGCTAACATAATAAAATCTGGAGTTAGTTAAAAAGCTCCGTAGAAAAGGTAATAGGAAATAAGGTATTCTGGACGTCAGTGCACACCTGGGTTGGTTTTATTCAAATTTAAGGCCTTAGGACTGAAAGCCAACTGCGCTAAGTTAAATCTGACATTTTTCAGCACACTTAACGCATTCAATTATGACAAAATTGTAATTTTTTGGGTAATGAACAAGTGTTAAGGAAAGCAAACAGGACAATTATCAGCTTTCAATAAAATATTCTTTATTTCCGTGATGACGTATTAACTAACCGACGAGTTGAATCTTAGCCACTGAATGGTTGCTGTTAAAATTCCACATGCTTTATAAACCCTTGAATTGCATAATTTTGGAGTCTTCTAGTGCCATTATCATCAATAATCTATAGAACATAAATTGAAGTTCATTGATCTAATGAAACAACAATTTTCTTAACAGCTTCGGCTGAACACAATTTTTGGATGCAAACTTTCATCTATGTCAGGACTGCATAGAATTGGTCCCTTGGACTCTCACAAATCTGTTATAAGACCATTAAAAAATGACAAGAGAACAAACCCACGACGATTAAATTGTTGGAATTTTGACAGTTATGCTGATTCGTATACGAATTTTTGGCAAGCGTCAGAAGAGACTTCCATGGGCACAGTTCCTAGCTGACAGTGTATGGTGTTCACTGATAGCATAACTTTTTTCGTTTCATAAATCTTGCTCCTGAAATGCATCATTTATGAATAAGT